AAACTCTTGGGAATAAGCAAGAAGACTCTTTGCTCATCACGAAGAGAGGAAGCTTCTTCCAAGACTCATTCTTCTCCGACATACGCCAAGGCTTCGACGCCTCTGTCAGGGAAATCTTGAAGAAATGCAATGACTCCGATCTGACGGTGACAGACGATGTCAGTCACAGTGACATCTTGAGCCGCTACAGGCAGCTTCGATCTCGAGACATGAGGGAAGAGGACCAGGCCTTCTCCGTCACGTCAGACAGTGCTAGCCTCAAGGTCAGTCCCCAATCTATGTATCAGCATTTCCCACTGACTAATGCTTTATCTATTTACCTGTATTCAATGAAAGTGGACCATTAATTATATGAAACAGAATAATTATAATACATTTAATGCTTTACTTTTAGTTGATGAGCCAAATTACTTCATATACAGCTCTTTCCTGAAAACCTTAGTATGTTTTCATATATTATTGTAAAATTCATTATTATCACATTCATTCTGTTTGTTCTTTTTTTCTTTCTTTTTTTATTATCATTGTTATCATTATCATATAAAATTGATATCAGTGTTATTAATAGCATTATCAGTATTATATATTATCAATATCAATATCACTGTCAAAATTATTATTATTATTATTAGGATTATCACCACTATTATCATTTTACTATGGCTATTCTTTCCATTAAGTTCCTGATTAAAAATTGTTCTGAAAAAATAATTCAATTTCATTCCAACTTCATAGATCGTGCTTGACGTGTATGACTTCATGCGCGGAGACGTCAAGGTGAAAGTCGTAGACGAGAAGGAGCTGGTGGTGGAAGGACGCGTAGAGAAGGAGGAAGGAAGTTCATCCGTCTCGTCACACTCCTTCAGACGCCGCTTTTCTCTGCCTCACCGCACTGACATGACACACATTACTTCTGTCATGTCTTCAGATGGTATCCTCACAATAACTACTCCTAAAACGGTAAACAACATCAATTTTTATGTTTCTGAAACTTGATAGATCCTATATGTTTGCATTTCTGAATCATGTATAAAAAGGTAAATATAAAGACCTCTGGTATGCTAATGAAACTGGAATGTATCATTAGGTTAGTCTTTATATGCATAAAGTGAGTAAAACGTCGCTCTCATATCTCATTCAGGCAGGAGAACCACAGCAAAACACGCACGTTAACTTCTCCATGACTGAGGAAAGGAAGGAATCAACGGTTCAAGACTTAACACCCAAGGCACTCTCGTCCACGACGGAGAAAAACATCTCCGTTCACGAGAATCTTGTCAATGTAGATCAGAAGGACTTTGAGTGCGAACAAAAACACATGTACGAGAACAAGATGAGAAAGCTGGAGAAAGAATTTGAATTTCCTGCTGAATCCAAGGAAGTTTTAAAGGCCAAGATCTGTCAAAATCAGTCTGTGGATGAGTCTACAACTGCTTCTGTTCATGAACATGGAAACGATGCCAATAATCAGGATCATGAACTCAAACGACTGACTGAAACATTCAAATCAACAATCACTGAGAAAGCCTCTTGTGATGACTTTATTTCTGCCATGAAGAACAACAAACTTCCATGCAATCTGAATCTGAGTCAACAGAAGCCATCAAACTGCGCGAAGAAATCTTGCCCATCACTCGAAGAGGAAGCTTCGTTCAGGATTCCTTCTTCCTCGATGTCCACCAAGAGTTTTACACTGCCATCAGAGAGGTCCTGAAGAAGTGGGTTAGCGCAGACAGTGAGGACTTCCTTAGTCTAAGTCACAGCGATATTCTGGTCCGCTACAGACAGCTTCGATCCCGTGAATTGAGGGAAGAAACTCAAGTCTCTATCGTCACGTCCGACAACACTAGTTACAAGGTAAGTAGTGCATGAATCACTCCGAGTAATACAATATGATTAAGTGTCTTTTCAAGATCAATTGAATACCAATAGTTTTCCAGTTAACATGCAACTGCTTACATGTGTGTTTTTATGTGAATAGCAATTCATTCAAATATGATACTCATATGTAAGCATTATGCTTATTGTTTAACAATCTTATATCTTTACAGATCGTGTTGGACGTCCAAGACTTCATGAATAGGGATCTGAAGGTGAAGGTGGTGGGCGAGACGAAGGTGGTGGTAGAAGGACGTGTGGCGAAGAGAGAAGGAAGCTCATCCGTGTCCTCATGCTCCTTCCGACGCTGCTTCTCCTTGCCAGAGTATATTGACATGACAAGCATCACGTGCATCATGTCTTCTGACGGCATACTCACAATCATCGCTTCGAAAATGGTATTTAATGATTATCTGTAGATGATATGACGTATGTAATATGTTATAAAGATGAAACTGTCTGCGCATAGCACACATTCGCATGGCTCACACACCAACTCACAAGTACTCACCTCCCCCGCCGACACACACGCACATACACGACACACACACACACTCATGTCTCTGTGTCCATAAAATTCAACCTGAATTGTTTAACAGACAGAAGAATCGGAAGAAGACAAAGTGGTCAGCTCCATTGAGGAAGTTCAAGAATCCTCTGAAGTTCAACGCTCGGTATCCCCAACTAATGAAACAATCTCCCTCCATGAGGAATGTGAAAAGGCAAGCAAAGCCACATATGACTGCATGGATTCTATGGCAGAAGATACCAGCATTGAGTTCGAAGATGTAAAGACTCCACTCTCTGAAGAAATGTGTCACTCAGTGAAATCTGAGACAGCCCAACAGTTCCTTCTGTCGACTGATTCTGCAGCAACATCGAGTCATGATACTGATTTCGGCATTGTAGAAACTCAAAATCAGAGCAAAGACACTATTGGCACACTAGAATCTATTGTAACTGAAGAAGCGATGGCTGATGATTCAGCTTCTGTGTCTTACTCTGAGTCTGCAGAAATTACAGAAGCTTCCCTATGTCGCCGAAGTTCGATTGGCTTGAATGAAACGTTTGGTGATAATTCTGAATCACGTGACTTTGGAACTTCCCAGGATTCTCTTCCTTCTGTCATTCCCGAAGAAGAAAACGAATCTGAAACTGTTGGAGTCCTTCATCTTGATGACTCCCAACAGGCAATTGAAATTCTTGACCTGCATGACTCACAAGAATCTGTTAGCATTCTTGATGCAAAGGATTCAGAAGCTGTTGAAATACTTGATCTGAAAGACTCACAGGAATCTGCTGACATTCTTCAAGTGAAAGGTTCAGAAGCCGTTGAAATTCTTGATTTGACAGACTCACAAGAATCTGTTGACATTCTTGATACAAAAGGCTCAGCTGCTGAAAATCTTGACCTGAAAAGCTCACACGAATCTGATGACATTCTTGATGTACAAGACCTACAGGAGTCTGCTGACATTGTTGAGGTGAAAGGTACAGCTGTTGAAATTCTTGGTCTGACAGACTCACAACAATCTGTTGACATTCGTGATGTGAAAGACTCACATGAATCTATTGACATTCTTGAAGTGAAAGGCTCAGAATTTGTAGAAATTCCTGACCTTAAAGATTCCCAAGAATCTACGGAAATATTGCATCAAAAGGATTCAGAGGAAGCTGCTGAAATTATAGATCTGAAGGATTCAGAAGCTGTTGAAATTCTTGATCTTAAAGATTCCCAGGAATCTGTTGGCATTCTTGATGTGAAAGATTCACAGGAAGCTGTTGCTGAGGCTCAGAATACGTTCAAAACTCAGAACTCAAAGTCTTCAACCATTTTGGACGATGTCACTGAGGATGCCGTACCTGTGCAAGAAAGGTCCAAACCAGTTTCTGAGGAAACGCTCGACAGTAAAATGAATCAGTTGGCAGCAACTGAGAGTTGCACAGATTCCCTTCAGTCATCTGGAGATTCTTGTACCTATGAAAAGGAAGTCATCGATACTCTTGGGCAGCTGAAACTTAAAGAGATGACTGAAACCGTACGTACAGAAGAGTCTACAGAAACTGGTGAATCCTTGAAAGGAATGAGAAGCGTTCACAGAGATTCGCCAGAAGAGCTGTTGCTCATCACCAAAAGAGGAAACTTCTTCCAAGACTCATTCTTCCTTGACACTCAGCGAGACTTCAGTGCCGCTCTCAGGCAGGTGTTGGGCAGGTGCAATGAAGAAAACTTTGAGAACGACATTAACCTCTGTTACACCGATATCCTGGAACGCTACAGACATCTTCGATCTCGCGATCTGAAGGAAGAGAATCAGGCTGTTATCGTTACATCAGACAAGTCTTGTCTAAAGGTTAGTTAATACTACTGTCATAGTTTTTTTTTTTTTTTTTTTATCAATATACTGATTACCTATCGATAGAATTAGTAAAATAATTACTAGCATGATTTTTTAAAAACTAAGCACTTTAAAAGACGGGTTGCCATATGAAAACTACCTTATTGTTTCCAGATAATTATGGACGTTTATGAGTTCATGAGTGGAGATATACAAGCGAAAGGTTGTTGATGAGAAAGAGTTAGTCATTGAGGGACGTGTGGTGAAGAGCGAAGGAACCTCATCCGAGACCTCTCACTCCTTCAGACGCCGCTTCTCTCTTCCGCAATATACTGATATCACTTCTGTTATGTCGTTAGATGGCATCCTCACAGTTACTGTGATCTTTAAGGTATGTTCCAATTATATGTTGTTAATGACAACTGGGAGTATATCACCTATGAAAAGAAAAGAAAAAAAAAAACATATACACTATACAAATATAGTATCAAATGATTATTTTGCAGGAAGGAAATGTCGAGCTAAATACAGCTAAAAAGACTGAAGCAAAATGCAACATAACAAAAGAAATTATTGACTCAAAATCACCTTCCCTTTCTGCTGAAAAGCATGTGCTTGAGGCGAAGGCTGAAAATCGTGATAGATTGAACAAGAATGTGACATTACAGTCACAGGAAACTCGTAATTTCACGTCGGGGACAGAGAGGTCCAAACTTGATTCCAACTTCGAGGACAATAGACTGAGACGCTATGGACGAGGCTATAACAGGGAGTCTGAAGAAACCAACAGATATAACGTCACCGAAGACACAAGTATGGGAACGTCCTCTCGTTTCTCGAGTGTTTCTCAGTGTAGCTCCGCATTGAAGTCTTTTCCAGTGACGAGGAAAGGGACTGTTCTTCTCCGATTACTTTTTCCGAGACACAAGGGAGGATTTCCAGAAAGCCGTAAGGGAAATCCTGAACAAATGGGGAGAGAAGTCGTCTTCCGGTGACGAGATGACTTGCTACAGAAAACTACGAGCACGAAATATGAGGGAAGATAATCAGGCAGTGACGTCTTCGGAAGATGAACGTCATTATAAGGTAAACTAGACATAAACTAGTTTCATTTGTTACTTTGTTAAGCAATATTATTTATGAGGACTCATGTAAACCGACTTTGTCATGTATTCTTTTTATTTATTTTTATTTTTAAAATTTATTTCAGTTCGTCATTGATGTCCAAGACTTTATGGACATTGGAGAGATCAGCGTGAAGGCTGTGAACGAGAGAGAGTTGGTGGTTGAAGGTCATTTGGAGAAGAAGGAAGACGGTTCGAAGTCCAGCAAGCGGTTCCTTCGTCGGTTCATTGTTCCTGGAGACATTGAGCTCGAGGCTGTCATTTCAGTCATGTCTTCTGACGGAGTGCTTAAAATCTTAGCTCCGAAAAGGGTAGGTTATACTTACCTATGTATGTGTGTGTTCACATGCACATACACGCATGCGCGTGCATGCAAATATATATGAATATATATACAGATATATATCATATAGAGATAGGTAGTGCTGTTTATGTTTTCATGTATGGGAAGGAAAAAACTGATAGTGAAGAGCACTGCAAACACAAGAGAAAGATATGAAAATCGCAAGTGTCTCTTTATGTGCATAATATACATACACTACATGCCAAAAGCCGTCATACATGCAAAGGCGTGATTGTTAAATGCATAATATAAATATTCCTAAATCTCACATACATTCCTTGTTCCACAGCTTGGCCACAACCGAAAACACGTTTCGACTGACATGGACGATGGCGATGCAATGTTTTCAAGGAAATTCACAAATGGACATCGTCTCGCCGATAACTTGTTTGGGAAGAGAGATTCATCTTCGGATGACGAGGATTTTAGGACATTTGCCAGGCAAATCAATGGTCGCTACCAAGTCGCTTTCCAAGACGACGACGAAGACTTTGAAAACTGGACATATGTTCAACAAGGAGACAAAGATGAAAACTGACAAGGACTTTAAATTTGACATTCCAAGCTTTTCAACGGAAACTAGGGTTTTACACGTGGACAGAAGGGGTGTATTCACTGAAGACTATTTCTTCGCGAATGTTCGTGACAGCTTCAACCAAGCAGTGAAAGAAGTGCTGGAAAAGACTAATGAATGGACCTGTCGAAGTGACGCCATGCACAACTACAGACGTCTACGTCAGCGCAACCTCAAGTTGGAAACTCAGGCTGTTGGCATCATTGACGATCAAGACTCGCACAAGGTGGGTGTAAATCTGCTTTTCACTTAAACCAATTTCATATCACAATTTAAATGATTATTTCTGGGAAGAGTGAATAGGTAGTTTCGTAATCAAATGTTTTTTTCCTTTTCAGATTGTGATAGACGTTTTTGATTTTATTAAGGGCGTCGTGACAGTGCAGTTGGTGAAGGGCAAGGAACTGCTGGTCGAGGGTCAAGCAGAGAAGCAGGACGGAAGGAGAGTGTCCCGAGTGAGCTTCGTGCGTCGCTTGGCGTTGCCTGAGCTCGTCGACCGAGACGCCATCAGCTGCGTGTTGTCCTCGGACGGAATCCTGACAATCATCTCCAAGAAGAGAGCATGCGAGTACAGGACTAGTGCAAGGGGACTTTCCAGTGAGAGGAAGTCCTACGGTGACAGGGCTGGCAGATGGGAGGACAAGAAAGTGAAGGACTCCGTCGCGGATCTGGAAGGCCCCAGCTCTCGGAGCTTCAGCACTGGCTCTCGCTCCCGCTACCATCGCTCCTATGCGAAGCAGTATTAGAGTAAAAGTCCTTACATAGGTTTATAAATGCATATTTACACACACAAAAAAAGTAATAGATTATTTTTGTGATATATACACATTAATTTTACTGCTGAGGAGTACCCTTATATGTGCATACGTTTTATACAGAAGTTTTGTACAGAAGAGTATTGATTTTTAAATCACATTCCTTTCTACAAATTTCCTCATACTTTATTTTGAAGAAAAAGTGTATTTGTATATGCAAATAAAATGACTTACTATATTTATAACTGCACTGATCCTACTTTCAGATAGGCATTATCTTATTGTTAGAAGTCCAAAAGGTAATGAAACAATACGTACATAAACAAACAAAAATGTAGCCCTTGAGGGAGACAAACACAATTTATGGGGGACAAAATATCCCTCACCCAGCCACTTGACGCCTCTGGCAACAACAAATGTTTGTTATCATTATTACTCCACGTTTTCTTATTCCCGAAGAAAAAGACACACTGATGCCCACATAGACGATTAGATGCACGCACACGTGTTCAAATGCACTCATTTGCACACCGATGGTGAGAGGCACACACGCGTGAATACACGACCCGGTCCATACACTGACACGCTTTCTATAATAATCTCATGTTACTAATACTAAACTAACCATTATATTATCCAGCCTGGCTAACTGCACAGGCGTGGGCAAGCTGTGGTACATTTGATACATGATCATAACATTATATAATGGTATTACATTTGAATTGTAGATTATAACATTATTATAATAAACGCTATATCATTTAAAGGAAAGGAATAATTATACAGTCCTTTATCTACTCATCTGCCACGCCGGCGTTCAAATTGGGCGTGGAAATGCATTGCTACATTTGAAATGCGGTCATATGATACTACATTCCAAATTTATACGACATAAGTATATCTTCTAAGACATCAGATGGTATGAAATAGTTCTCCGTACCGCATACTAGGTGGTCTGAAAGGCTGTAACACATGGCACTCTGAGATATAATGTACAACTGTTCGCTAATAATCTCCATTACACAGTTTACACTTAGTTTCTTCGACATTACAAACTGTACTGACCTGCTACTAATCATTATTATCATATCAATCTCCGTAGAGTTAGAGATGTTGGTTTGGTATCGTGTTACCCAACTACAGGTAATGTCCATGTGTCTTTGGCGTATTTTGGTGATGACCTTCAGTGATGTAAAAGTGATCCCGTAGTCACAATAAAAAGAACAATAACATAACATCACTGGCTAATTCAAAAGGCAACATAAAAAGAGCATCCATATTATATATTCATTTCGCACAGGTCTTTCGAACACAACCAATATACAAGACAACACACCATACACTTGATAAAACAAAGGCAACCCGCCACAGCACGAGAGACACCAGCCAACCAGCTAGTAATCCAACGGCCTGTCGCCGCTTCTCTCTCTCCCTCCCGACGTGGCTTGATCTTTTATACTGCTGGCTTCCCGCGCTTGTTGCTGTTTTACACAGTCTATCTAATTTATTTAATAGTGTATGATAAGTTTAAAATAAGATTAAAAATACATGAAACAAAAGGAATAATAAAACTATACAAACAATAAATGACAGGAAGGTACGAAAAAGTGAAAGGGATCCATGAGGGAAAGACGAGAAACACGAAGAAAAAAAAAACGAGTGAGAAACGTAGCTAAGGTGAATTAGAGGGATATATATATGTATACATATATATATGTATGTATGAATGTATGTGCATATGTATATGCATTAGATATATGCATAAGGATAATGATAACGATAACAATAATAATGATAATAATAATGATAATAATAATAATAATAATAGTAATAATGGTAATAATCATCATGATAATGATAATAATGATAATGATAATAACAATAATAATAATAATAATAACAATAATAATAATATTAAGAAAAACAATAATGAAATTGATACTGAGAATGATGATGACGATGATGATGATAAAAATAACAATAATGATAATCATGACAGTAATGAGAATAACCATAAGTAATCAAATTCCACCGTGTGCCCACGGGGAGTGTCTGTAAAGAGTTTCTTTTATTCATGTGTATATATATACATATGTGTGTGTGTGTGCTTGTGTTGTGTGCGAGTTTTTGTATATGTATATATGGATACATATGGATATACAGGTATATATATATATATAGATAGATAGAATTTGTGTGCGTATGTGTATGTTTTTACATATTTTTATATACATATGTGTCTGTTTGTGTGTTGTGTCTGTGTTAGCGTGTGTGTTGTGTGTGCGTTTTTTCCATATATACAGATGTATATATGGATATACATCTGTTTATCTATCTCTATATATATGTGTATGTGTGTGTATATTGATAGATAGATATATTTGTGTGTGCTTGTGTGTAAGTGTTTACATACCTTTATATATATGTATACACATGCGTACATGAATGTGTATGTCATCGATTCCAGGTAAAAGGTTCCTTAGTTAAAGTTAAAAATAATCTTATTCGAAAAAGAGTGTTGCAAATCTTCCCGAAATATCCTCCGACGCATTAAGCAGTATTGTAATGCAATACTACTTCAGTCGTGCTGATACTGGACCTCAGATGTTTACTCACGTCTCTGGACTTTGGCAGCCACGCAAAAGCTGTTCGTGCCAAGTGACGCCGCTGCCACGTCACACGCTAGCACTCGCCAGAGACAGTATATATGTTTAGTGTCCTCCTAGGAATCTTCAGTTCACAAGCGCACGTGTACCTCCAACGATCTCCTCTCAAGTCATAGCACAAGTGTATATATATTCCTATTTTGAAAATGGCACCCATTCAGATGGAAAAGTCCTACGTGAAAGTGTCCTCCACACCCGCTGCAAAGTGCTCTCGGCAGGCAAGGTCAAGCAGCAGGTCATGGGATGTGATCCTTCCTATCAGTCGCAGAGGAAGCTTCTTCCAAGACTCGTTTTTCTCTGACATACACAAGGATTTTGACTCCTCCGTCAGGGAGGTGTTGGCCAGATGGAGTGACGAAGACCTGAAAGTGAAAGACTTCCGCCGGGATGATATTATGGACCGATACAGACAGCTTCGATCTCGTAACCTAAATGAAGGGAACCAGGCTGTCACAGTCACATCTGACAACACAAGTCATAAGGTGAGTCGGTATAACGATCGCTGTTTCCAATTAGTCACTGGACGAGACACGGTTAAATATGTAAAATCGCAGAATACCTCCACATATAGCTAAAGTTATAACACATAAATTCTATCTCCCAGATTGTGCTGGACGTGCATGACTTCATGTGTGGAGATGTGAGAGTGAAAGTGTTGGACGAGGAGTTGTTAGTGGAAGGACACGTGGAGAAGAAGGAGGAAGGAAGCTCATCCGTGTCGTCACACTCCTTCAGACGCTACTTCTCTTTGCCTCAACACACAGACATGACAGCGATTACGTCCGTCATGTCTGCAGATGGTATCCTCACAGTCACTGCGCCAAAAATAGTGAGTCAATTATTTTCTTTTAAACAGTGAGTATATAAACAAAGGAATGCTGTATGAGTAAAGAAGAACCCTACATTATATTGATATTAATAATAAATCTTATTTTGTCTCACAGAAAACAGAAATGACAAAGGAAAATGCAATCAGTCAAACTTCCGCTTCGAATTATCATGAGAAAGTCGGCGAAACACGAAAACAAACAGCCTCTGAACACTTGTCTTCTACACGAAAAGAAAGCTGTTCGTGTGATCTTGGTTTCAAAAGAACAGCTGATTCCTCTGGGTTTGACTGCGGTTCGTGGGACACATCCTTGCCCATCACTCGAAGGGGAAGCTTCTTCCAGGATTCCTTCTTCTCCGGTACACATCGCGACTTCGATGCCTCCATCAGGAAGGTCCTCAATGGCTGGAATGACGCCGATCACCAGCTGGCGGACTTCTGGGACGATGACGACTTCCACCGCAGCGACAGACTGGGCCGCTACAGACAGCTTCGATCGCGGAACCTGTGGAGTGACAACCAGGCCGTTACAGTTACTTCAGATAATATTAGTTATAAGGTAAGTTGCATGAAAACTTCACTCTTATTCAATTCATCTACATGTGTAAGATATAAATCATTTTTACGTTTCATGGACGACTGAGGAACTTTCGTTTTGTATATTAATACCGTGAATTGTTTCATAGATCTTGGTGGATATGCATGACTTTGTGGATGGAGATGTGAAGGTGAAGTTGATGGGCGAGAAGGAGCTGTTGGTGGAGGCCCAGTCGGCCAGGTCCTCGCACACCTTCACACGCACCTTTTCCTTGCCTGAGTCCATTGACATAACGTCCATCACGTCTGTCATGTCGTCAGATGGCATCCTGACAATCACTGCCGTCCAAGAAGGTATTGTTCTAGCTTCTCTTGTACTTCACTAATGCCTTATGAAGATTTTATATAAATGAATCTAAAGTGTAGCAGGCATCCGCATAATTAATACGCCTCTCTTAACCAACAGGAGAGTGAAACACAACAGAAGACTACTGTCATCCCCATTAATGTCAAGGAAACGCATAATGCTTCAGAAGTTCACAGCTCAACTTCCTCGACGACCTCGGGAGTTTCTGAGGAAACAGCATCTGGCCAAGGAATATCCCACACAGCCCAAGAGGAGGAACGCAAATACGCACGATGCTTTCAGGAGAATATCGACGAGGACAAGACCCAAACTGCAACTTCCAATATCTCAAGCAACACCCAACAATCATCACAGAAGGAATCGTCTGTCATCACAGATTTTGTTTCCACAAGACTTTCCGACTCGCTGGGAGCAAAGAAAACTCTTGGGAATAAGCAAGAAGACTCCTTGCCCATCACGAAGAGAGGAAGCTTCTTCCAAGACTCATTCTTCTCCGACATACGCCAAGGCTTCGACGCCTCTGTCAGGGAAATCTTGAAGAAATGCAATGACTCCGATCTGACGGTGACAGACGATGTCAGTCACAGTGACATCTTGAGCCGCTACAGGCAGCTTCGATCTCGAGACATGAGGGAAGAGGACCAGGCCTTCTCCGTCTCGTCAGACAGTGCTAGCCTCAAGGTCAGTCCCCAATCTATGTATCAGCATTTCCCACTGACTAATGCTTTATCTATTTACCTGTATTCAATGAAAGTGGACCATTAATTATATGAAACATAATAATTTAATACAATTAATGCTTTACATTTAGTTGATGAGCCAAATTACTTCATATACAGCTCTTTCCTGAAAACCTTATTATGTTTTCAGATATTATCGTGAAATTCATTATTATCCCATTCATTCTGTTTGTTCTTTTTTCTTTCTTTTGATTTTTCTTATCTTTTATTATCATTGTTACCATTATCATCGTTATTAATATTAATATCAGTATTGTTAATAGCATTACTATTATCAATATCAATATCACTGTCAATATTATTATCTTTATTATTAAGATTATCACCACTATTATCATTTCACTAAGGCTATCCTTTCCATTAAGTTCCTGATTAAAAATTGTCTGAAAAAATAATTCAATTTCATTCCAACTTCATAGATCGTGCTTGACGTGTATGACTTCATGCGCGGAGACGTCAAGGTGAAAGTCGTAGACGAGAAGGAGCTGGTGGTGGAAGGACGCGTAGAGAAGGAGGAAGGAAGTTCATCCGTCTCGTCACACTCCTTCAGACGCCGCTTTTCCCTGCCTCACCACACTGACATGACACACATTACTTCTGTCATGTCTTCAGATGGTATCCTCACAATAACTGCTCCCAAAACGGTAAACATCAACTTTTATGTTTCTGAAACTTGATAGATCCTATATGTTTGCATTTCTGAATCATGTATAAAAAGGTAAATATAAAGACCTCTGGTATGCTAATGAAACTGGAATGTATCATTAGGTTAGTCTTTATATGCATAAAGTGAGTAAAACGTCGCTCTCATATCTCATTCAGGCAGGAGAACCACAGCAAAACACGCACGTTAACTTCTCCATGACTGAGGAAAGGAAGGAATCAACGGTTCAAGACTTAACACCTAAGGCACTCTCGTCCACGACGGAGAAAAATATCTCCGTTCACGAGAATCTTGTCAATGTAGATCAGAAGGACTTTGAGTGCGAACAAAAACACATGTACGAGAACAAGATGAGAAAGCTGGAGAAAGAATTTGAATTTCCTGCTGAATCCAAGGAAGTTTTAAAGCCCAAGATCTGTCAAAATCAGTCTGTGGATGAGTCTACAACTGCTTCTGTCCATGAACATGGAAACGATGCCAATAATCAGGATCATGAACTCAAACGACTGACTGAAACATTCAAATCAACAATCACTGAGAAAGCCTCTTGTGATGACTTTATTTCTGAAGAACAACAAACTTCCATGCAATCTGAATCTGAGTCAACAGAAGCCATCAAACTGCGCGAAGAAATCTTGCCCATCACTCAAAGAGGAAGCTTCGTTCAGGATTCCTTCTTCCTCGATGTCCACCAAGAGTTCTACACTGCCATCAGAGAGGTCCTGAAGAAGTGGGTTAGCGCAGACAGTGAGGACTTCCTTAGTCTAAGTCACAGCGATATTCTGGTCCGCTACAGACAGCTTCGATCCCGTGAATTGAGGGAAGAAACTCAAGTCTCTATCGTCACGTCCGACAACACTAGTTACAAGGTAAGTAGTGTATGAATCACTCCGAGTAATACAATATGATTAAGTGTCTTTTCAAGATCAATTAATAATTTTCCAATTAACATGCAGCTGCTTACATGTGTGTTTTTATGTGAATAGCAATTCATTCAAATATGATACTCATATGTAAGCATTATGCTTATTGTTTAACATTTTTATCTCTTTACAGATCGTGTTGGACGTCCAAGACTTCCTGAATAGGGATCTGAAGGTGAAGGTGGTGGGCGAGACGAAGGTGGTGGTAGAAGGACGTGTGGCGAAGAGGGAAGAAGGAAGCTCATCCGTGTCCTCATGCTCCTTCCGACGCTGCTTCTCCTTGCCAGAGTATATTGACATGACAAGCATCACGTGCATCATGTCTTCTGACGGCATACTCACAATCATCGCTTCAAAAATGGTATTTAATGATTATCTGTAGATGATATGAGGTATGTTATATGTTATAGAGATGAAATTGTCTGCGCATAGCACACACTCACATGACACACACCAACTCACAAGTACTCCCCTCTCCCCCGACACACACACGCAAATACACGACACACACACACTCATGTCTCTGTGTCCATAAGATTCAACCTGAATTGTTTAACAGCCAGAAGAATCGGAAGAAGACAAAGTGGTCAGCTCCATTGAGGAAGTTCAAGAATCCTCTGAAGTTCAACGCTCGGTATCCCCAACTAATGAAACAATCTCTCTCCATGAGGAATGTGAAAAGGCAAGCAAAGAAACATATGACTGCATGGATTCTATGGCAGAAGATACGAGCATTGAGTTCGAAGATGTAAAGACTCCACTCTCTGAAGAAATGTGTCACTCAGTGAAATCTGAGACAGCTCAACAGTTCCTTCTGTCGACTGATTCTGCAGCAACATCGAGTCATGATACTGATTTCGGCATTGTAGAAACTCAAAATCAGAGCAAAGAGACTATTGGCACACTAGAATCTATTGTAACTGAAGAAGCGATGGCTGATGATTCAGCTTCTGTGTCTTACTCTGAGTCTTCAGAAATTAAAGAAGCTTCCCTATGTCGCCGAAGTTCGATTGGCTTGAATGAAACGTTTGGTGATAATTCTGAATCACGTGACTTTGGAACTTCCCAGGATTCTGTTCCTTCTGTCATTCCCGAAGAAGAAAACGAATCTGAAACTGTTGGAGTCCTTCATCTTGAAGACTCCCAACAGGCAATTGAAATTCTTGACCTGAATGACTCACAGGAATCTGTTAGCATTCTTGATGCAAAGGATTCAGAAGCTGTTGAAATACTTGATCTGAAAGACTCACAGGAATCTGCTGACATTCTTCAAGTGAAAGGTTCAGAAGCTGTTGAAATTGTTGATCTGACAGACTCACAAGCATCTGTTGACATTCTTGATACAAAAGGCTCAGCTGTTGAAAATCTTGACCTGAATAGCTCACACGAATCTGTTGACATTCTTGATGTACAAGACCTACAGGAATCTGCTGACATTGTTGAGGTGAAAGGTACAGCTGTTGAAATTCTTGGTCTGACAGACTCACAACAATCTGTTGACATTCGTGATGTGAAAGACTCACATGAATCTATTGACATTCTTGAAGTGAAAGGCTCAGAAGTTGTAGAAATTCCTGATCTTAAAGATTCCCAGGAATCTACGGAAATTTTGCATCAAAAGGATTCAGAGGAAGCTGCTGAAATATTTGATCTGAAAGATTCAGAAGCTGTTGAAATTCTTGATCTTAAAGATTCCCAGGAAGCTGTTGGCATTCTTGATGTGAAAGATTCACAGGAAGCTGTTGCTGAGGCTCAGAATACATCCAAAACTCAGAACTCAAAGTCTTCAAGCACTTTGGACGATGTCACTGAGGATGCCGTACCTGTGCAAGAAAGGTCCAAACCAGTTTCTGAGGAAACGCTCGACAGTAAAATGAATCAGTTGGCAGCAACTGAGAATTGCACAGATTCCCTTCAGTCATCCGGAGATACTTGTACCTATGAAAGGGAAGTCATCGATACTCTTGGGCAGCTGAAACTTAAAGAGACGACTGAAACTGTACGTACAGAAGAGTCTACAGAAACTGGTGAATCCTTGAAAGGAATGAGAAGCGTTCACAGAGATTCGCCAGAAGAGCTGTTGCTCATCACCAAAAGAGGAAACTTCTTCCAAGACTCATTCTTCCTTGACACTCACCAAGACTTCAGTGCCGCTCTCAGGCAGGTGTTGGACAGGTGCAATGAAGAAAACTTTGAGAACATTAACCTCTGTTACACCGATATCCTGGAACGCTACAGACAGCTTCGATCTCGCGATCTGAAGGAAGAAAATCAGGCTGTTATCGTTACATCAGACAAGTCTTGTCTAAGGGTTAGTTAATACTACTGTCATAGTTTTTTTTATTTTTTTTATCAATATACTGATTACCATCGATAGCATTAGAAAACCGTTACTAGCATGATTTTTTAAAACTAAGCACTTTAAAAAACGGGTTGTCATATAAAAACTACCTATCGTTTCCAGATAATTATGGACGTTTATGAGTTCATGAGTGGAGATATACAAGCGAAGGTCGTTGATGAGAAAGAGTTAGTCATTGAGGGACGTGTGGTGAAGAGCGAAGGAACCTCATCCGAGACCTCTCACTCCTTCAGACGCCGCTTCTCTCTTCCGCAATATACTGATATCACTTCTGTTATGTCATTAGATGGCATCCTCACAGTTACTGTGATCTTTAAGGTATGTTCCAATTATATGTTGTTAATGACAACTGGGAGTAAATCACCCATGAAAAGAAAAAAAAATCACATACACTATACAAATATAGTATCAAATGATTATTTTTCAGGAAGGAAATGTCGAGCTAAATACAGCTAAAAAGATTGAGGCAAAATGCAACATTACAAAAGAAATTAACTCAAAATCACCTTCACTTTCTGCTGAAAAGCATGTGCTTGAGGCGAAGGCTGAAAATCATGATAGATTGAACAAGAATGTGACATTACAGTCACAGGAAACTCGAGATTTCACGTCGGGGACAGAGAGGTCCAAACTTGATTCCAACTTCGAGGACAACAATAGACTGAGACGCTATGGACGAGGTTATAACAGGGAGTCTGAAGAAAGCAACAGATATAACGTCACCGAAGACACAAGTATGGGAACGTCCTCTCGTTTCTCGAGTGTTTCTCAGTGTAGCTCCGCATTGAAGTCTTTTCCAGTGACGAGGAAAGGACTGTTCTTCTCCGATTACTTTTTCCGAGACACAAGGGAGGGATTTCCAGAAAGCCGTAAGGGAAATCCTGAACAAATGGGGAGAGAAGTCGTCTTCCGGTGACGAGATGACTTGCTACAGAAAACTACGAGCACGAAATATGAGGGAAGATAATCAGGCAGTGACGTCTTCGGAAGATGAACGTCATTATAAGGTAAACTATACATAAACTAGTTTCATTTGTTACTTTGTTAAGCAATATTATTTATGAGAACTTATCATGTAAAGTGACTTTGTCATGTGTTTTTATTTTTATTTTATTTATTTATTTATTTATCTATTTATTTCAGTTCGTCATTGATGTCCAAGACTTTATGGACGTTGGAGAGATCAGCGTGAAGGCTGTGAACGAGCGAGAGTTGGTGGTTGAAGGTCACTTGGAGAAGAAGGAAGACGGTTCGAAGTCCAACAAGCGGTTCCTTCGTCGGTTCATTGTTCCTGGAGACATTGAGCTCGAGGCTGTCATTTCAGTCATGTCTTCTGACGGAGTGCTTAAAATCTTAGCTCCGAAAAGGGTAGGTTATACTTATTTATGTATGTGTGTGTTCACAGGCACGTACACACATGTGCGTGCATGCAAATATATATGAATATATATACATACAGTATATGTACATGCATGTATATATATACATACAGTATATGTACATGCATGTATATATTTACATATATGAATATATGTACACACTCATATGTGTATATATATATGAATTAATATATATACAGATATATATGTCATATAGAGATGGGTAGTGCTGTTTATGTTTTCATGTATGGGAGGGAAAAAACTGATAGTGAAGAGCAGTGCAAACACAAGAGAAAGATATGAAAATCGCAAGTGTCTCTTATGTGCATAATATACATACAATACACGCCAAAAGCTGTCATACATGCAAAGGCGTGATTGTTAAATACATAATATAAATATTCCTAAATCTCACATACCTTCCTTATTCCACAGCTTGGCAACAACCGAAAACACGTTTCGACTGACATGGACGATGGTGATGCAATGTTTTCAAGGAAATTCACAAGTGGGCATCGTCTCACCGATAACTTTTTGGGGAACAGAGATTCATCTTCGGATGACGAGGATTTTAGGACATTTGCCAGGCAAATCAATGATCGCTACCAAGTCACTTTCCAAGATAACGACGAAGAATTTGAAAATGGACATATGCTCAACAAGGAGACAAAGATGAAAACTGACAAGGACTTTAAATTTGACATTCCAAGCTTTTCAACGGAAACCAGGGTTTTATACGTGGACAGAAGGGGTGTATTCACTGAAGACTATTTCTTCGTGAATGTTCGTGACAGCTTCAGCCAAGCAGTGAGAGAAGTGCTGGAAAAGGCTAATGAATGGACCTGTCGAAGTGACGCCATGCACAACTACAGACGTCTGCGTCAGCGCAACCTCAAGTTGGAAACTCAGGCTGTTGGCATCATTGACGATCAAGACTCACACAAGGTGGGTGTAAAACTGCTTTTTCACGTAAACCAATTTCATATCACATTATAAATGATTATTTCTGGGAAGAGTGAATAGGTAGTTTCGTAATCAAATGTTTTTTTCCTTTTCAGATTGTGATGGACGTTTTTGATTTCATTAAGGGAGACGTGACAGTGCAGCTGGTGAAGGGCAAAGAACTGCTGGTCGAGGGTCAAGCAGAGAAGCAGGACGGAAGCAGAGTGTCCCGAGTGAGCTTCGAGCGTCGCTTTGCGTTGCCTGAGCTCGTCGACCGAGACGCCATCAGCTGCGTGTTGTCCTCGGACGGAATCCTGACAATCATCTCCAAGAAGAGAGCATGCGAGTACAGGACTAGTGCAAGGGGACTTTCCAGTGAGAGGAAGTCCTACGGTGACAGGGCTGGCAGGTGGGAGGACAAGAAAGTGAAGGAGTCCCTCGCGGATCTGGAAGGCCCCAGCTCTCACAGCTTCAGCACTGGCTCTCGCTCCCGCTACCACCGCTCCTGTGCGAAGCAATATTAGAGTAGAATTCCTACACAGGTTTATAAATGCTTTTTCGTGCTCAATAAGTGATTATTTTTTATATATGCACATTCATTTTACTGCGGACGAGGTCCCTTATATGTGAAGTAGATCTTATTTTCATAGCTGTCATAAGTTTACATAAGTTTTCTGTATGAAAAAGTGTTGATTTTTATATCACATTCCTTGCTATAAATACCTTCATATTTTATTTTGAGGTAAAGGTGTATTTGTATATATAAATAAAATGTTAACTTACTCTGTTTATAATTGCACTGACCCTACTTTCAGATAGATATTGTCTTAATGTTGTAAGATTTATATAATTGAAAAGACCATGAAAAAGTACACAGGGAAAAGAAAGATGAAGTAATTTACCAGGTCTGAAAATGACTGATTCCCCCATCATTGCCATCAGCAGTTACAGGAAGATCATTACTGACAGTAAAGATGAATTAACCTAAGTTCTCGCGTTGCCCACATTTCGTCTATAAATAGAGGGAGGCTTTCTGACCATGAACTGAGATGACTTCTATCTGGTAACTTGTTAGCTGCGTGACAGAGTAAAGATGTCACATATGGCATGGTGTTCAGCCAAGAGGATGGCATGATTTAACTCTCGTTTTACATAGTCATAATCATTTTCTCTCAGTGGCGACCTCTGCAACACTGAGGTAAACAACTCCACACACAAGGCAGCAACCAGGGTCGTAATTTCGGCTTTTTTTTTTTGGGGGGGGGGGGGGAGGGGGGGTCAGAAGGAAGTTGCCGAGCGAAGCGAACAAATATTTAGAAAAAAGGAGTAATTCTAGTAGCATTTTAAAGCTTTATAGGTATAAATATTAAAAGAAAAGAAAATTTTCTTTAAGGGGGGTAAGCTAGACTTTTAGGAAGACAAACACATTCTTGTGGGAGGGTCAACCCCCCCCCCCCCCCCCAAGCCAGTTGACACTAGCAACAATAAATTGTTATTATTATTCCACATCATTATCCCCAATGAAAGAGACACGGGCCGTTATATGCACGCACACAGGTGTTCACATGCACGCATTTGCACACCTATGCACAAAGGCACACATGCCCCCAAACCACACACTGGTTTGCTCTAATAATCTCATTGTTACTACTACTACTAGTCATTATCATTATTATTATTATTATTATATTTGCTTTATCCTCATAATTATTATCAGCATTGTAATTATAATTATAATCATAAATTTGATTATGATCATGAATATTATCATTATTGTCATCTTCACAATTATCAATATCAAATCATTATCATTATTACCATCATTATTATGATTATTATTATCACTATTGTTATCTTTATTATAATCATTGTTTTTATTCCATCAATAGTATTGAACTATATATATATATATATATATATATATGTGTGTGTGTGTGTGTGTGTGTGTGTGTGTGTGTGTGTGTGTGTGTGTGCGCGCAAGTATATATATATATATATTCTATATATATATGTATATATATGTATATATATAAATATGAATATAATATTTACATATTTGTATATATATATACATATACATATATATGTACATATATATATGTGTATGCACATACACACACACACACACCCACACCCACACCCACACACACTCGCACACACACACACACACACACACGTGTATGTATATATATATATATATATATATATATATATATACGCATGTATGTACATATATGTATATGTATGTATATGTATATATAATGATCTATATATGAATATATATATATATATATATAAATATATATTTTTTCTCACACACATATATATGTATATGTGTATATATTTATGTATGTATATATATACATATACATATATATGTACATATATGTATATCTATAGAGATGTATGCACACACACACACATATACGCACACACACACACACACACATATATATATAAACACATGTATGTACATATATGTATATATAAATATATATATATATATATATATGTATATATATATATATATATATATATATATATAATTGTGCATATATATACATATATGTATATATGTAAATATGTATAAATATATGTATATATATATATATATATATATATATGTGTGTGTGTGTGTGTGTGTGTGTGTGTATGTATGTATGTGTATATATATATATAAAGATCTATATATGAATATATATATACATACATTTTTTTTTTCTCACACACATATATATGTATATATGAATATATGTATGTATGTGTGTGCGTGTGTGTGCTGATATATCTATCTATCTATCGCGCGTACATGGATGTGTGTACTTGTAACCAATTTCAGCTATATATATATATATATATAACGATCTATATATGAATATACATATATGTATACATACATACATATACTTTTTTTCTCACATACACATACAAACACAAACACAACCACACATATATGTATATGTATATATATGTATGTGTGTGTGTTGACATATCTATCGCGCGTACATGGATGTGTTTACTTGTAACCGATTCTAGGTAAAAGGTTCCTTATTTGAAATCAAAAATACTCTTTTTCGAGAAATAGTATTGCAAAACTTCCCGAAATATCCTCCGACGCATTAAGCAATATTCCCACGCAATACTACGTTAATCGTACTGAAGCCAACTCTGATACTGGACCTGAGTCACAGATGATTACTCACATCTCTGGGCTTTGGCAGCCGCGCAAAAGCTGTTCATGCCAAGTGACGCCATTGCCACGTCACAAGCTAGCACTCGTCAGAGAGAGTATATATGTTTGCAGTTCAACCAAGTATCTCCAGTTCACAAGCGCACGTGCACCTCCAACGATCTCCTCTCAAGTCATAGCACAAGTGTATATATATTCTTTTTTTTGAAAATGGCGCCCATTCAGATGGAAAAGTCCTACGTGAAAGTCTCCTCCACACCCGCTGCAAAATGCTCTCGGCAGGCAGTGTCAAGCAGCAGATCGTGGGATGTGATCCTTCCTATCAGTCGCAGAGGAAGCTTCTTCCAAGACTCGTTTTTCTCTGACATATACAAGGATTTTGACTCCTCCGTCAGGGAGGTGTTGGCCAGATGGAGTGACGAAGATTTGAAAGTGAAAGACTTCCGCCGGGATGATATTATGGACCGTTACAGACAGCTTCGATCTCGTAACCTAAATGAAGGGAACCAGGCTGTCACAGTCACATCTGACAACACAAGTCATAAGGTGAGTCGGTATAACGATCGCTGTTTCCAATTAGTCTACTTGACGAGACACGTTAAATAGTGTTTAAAATCGAGAATGCGTCTACATATAGCTAAAGCTGTAACACATAAATTCTATCTCCCAGATTGTGCTGGACGTGCATGACTTCATGTGTGGAGATGTGAGAGTGAAAGTGTTGGACGAGGAGGAGTTGTTAGTGGAAGGACACGTGGAGAAGAAGGAGGAAGGAAGCTCATCCGTCTCGTCACACTCCTTCAGACGCTACTTCTCTTTGCCTCAACACACAGACATGACAGCGATTACGTCCGTCATGTCTGCAGATGGTATCCTCACAGTCACTGCGCCAAAAATAGTGAGTCAATTATTTTCTTGTAAACAGTGAGTATATAAACAAAGGAATGCTGTATGAGTAAAGAAGAACGCAACATTATATTGATAGTAATAATAAATCTGATTTTGTCTCACAGAAAACAGAAATGACAAAGGAAAATGCAATCAGTCAAACTTCCGCTTCGAATCATGAGAAAGTCGGCGAAACACGAAAACAAACAGCCTCTGAACACTTGTCTTCTACACGAAAAGAAAGCTGTTCGTGTGATCTTGGTTTCAAAAGAACAGCTGATTCCTCTGGGTTTGACTGCGGTTCGTGGGACACATCCTTGCCCATCACTCGAAGAGGAGGCTTCTTCCAGGACTCCTTCTTCTCCGGTACACATCGCGACTTCGATGCCTCCATCAGGAAGGTCCTCAATGGCTGGAATGACGCCGATCACCAGCTGGCGGACTTCTGGGACGATGACGACTTCCACCGCAGCGACAGATTGGGCCGCTACAGACAGCTTCGATCGCGGAACCTGTGGAGTGACAACCAGGCCGTTACAGTTACTTCAGATAATATTAGTTATAAGGTAAGTTGCTTGAAGACTGCACACTCTTATTCAATTCATCTACATGTGTAAGATATAAATCATTCTTACGTTTCATGGACGACTGAGAAACTTTGGTTATGAATATTAATATAGTGAATCATTTCATAGATCTTGGTGGATATGCATGACTTTGTGGATGGAGATGTGAAGGTGAAGTTGATGGGCGAGAAGGAGCTGTTGGTGGAGGCCCAGTCGGCCAGGTCCTCGCACACCTTCACACGCACCTTTTCCTTGCCTGAGTCCATTGACATAACGTCCATCACGTCTGTCATGTCGTCAGATGGCATCCTTACAATCACTGCGTCCAAGAAGGTATTGTTCTAGCTTCTCTTGTACTTCACTAATGCCTTATGAAGATTTTATATAAATGAATCCAAAGTGTAGCAGGCATCCGCATAATTAATACGCCTCTATTAACCAACAGGAGAGTGAAACACAACAGAAGATTACTGTCATCCCCATTAGTGTCAAGGAAACGCATAATGCTTCAGAAGTTCACAGCTCAACTTCCTCGACGACCTCGGGAGTTTCTGAGGAAACAGCATCTGGCCAAGGAATATCCCACACAGCCCAAGAGGAGGAACGCAAATACGCACGATGCTTTCAGGAGAATATCGACGAGGACAAGACCCAAACTGCAACTTCCAATATCTCAAGCAACACCCAACAATCATTACAGAAGGAATCGTCTGTCATCACAGACTTTGCTTCCACAAGAATTTCCGATTCGCTGGGAGCTCAGAAAACTCCTGGGAATAAGCAAGAAGACTCTTTGCCCATCACGAAGAGAGGAAGCTTCTTCCAAGACTCATTCTTCTCCGACATACGCCAAGGCTTCGACGCCTCTGTCAGGGAAATCTTGAAGAAATGCAATGACTCCGATCTGACGGTGACAGACGATGTCAGTCACAGTGACATCTTGAGCCGCTACAGGCAGCTTCGATCTCGAGACATGAGGGAAGAGGACCAGGCCTTCTCCGTCACGTCAGACAGTGCTAGCCTCAAGGTCAGTCCCCAATCTATGTATCAGCATTTCCCACTGACTAATGCTTTATCTATTTACCTGTATTCAATGAAAGTGGGCCATTAATTATATGAAACAGAATATTTACAATACATTTAATGCTTTACTTTTAGTTGATGAGCCAAATTACTTCATATACAGCTCTTTCCTGAAAACCATATTATGTTTTCATATATTTTCGTGAAATTCATTATTATCCCATTCATTCTGTTTGTTCTTTTTTCTTTCTTTTGATTTTTCTTATTTTTTATTATCATTGTTACCATTATCATCGTTATTAATATTAATATCAGTATTGTTAATAGCATTACAATTATCAATATCAATATCACTGTCAAAATTATTATCATTATTATTAAGATTATCACCACTATTATCATTTCACTAAGGCTATTCTTTCCATTAAGTTCCTGATTAAAAATTGTTCTGAAAAACTTCATAGATCGTGCTTGACGTGTATGACTTCATGCGCGGAGACGTCAAGGTGAAAGTCGTAGACGAGAAGGAGCTGGTGGTGGAAGGACGCGTAGAGAAGGAGGAAGGAAGTTCATCCGTCTCGTCACACTCCTTCAGACGCCGCTTTTCCCTGCCTCACCGCACTGACATGACACACATTACTTCTGTCATGTCTTCAGATGGTATCCTCACAATAACTGCCCCTAAAACGGTAAATAACATCAACTTTTATGTTTCTAAAACTTGATAGATCCTATATGTTTGCATTTCTGAATCATGTATAAAAAGGTAAATATAAAGACCTCTGGTATGCTAATGATACTGCAATGTATCATTAGGTTAGTCTTTATATGCATAAAGTGAGTAAAACGTCGCTCTCATATCTCATTCAGGCAGGAGAACCACAGCAAAACACGCACGTTAACTTCTCCATGACTGAGGAAAGGAAGGAATCAACGGTTCAAGACTTAACACCCAAGGCACTCTCGTCCACGACGGAGAAAAATATCTCCGTTCACGAGAATCTTGTCAATGTAGATCAGAAGGACTTTGAGTGCGAACAAAAACACATGTACGAGAACAAGATGAGAAAGCTGGAGAAAGAATTTGAATTTCCTGCTGAATCCAAGGAAGTTTTAAAGGCCAAGATCTGTCAAAATCAGTCTGTGGATGAGTCTACAACTGCATCTGTCCATGAACATGGAAACGATACTAATAATCAGGATCATGAACTCAAACGACTGACTGAAACAATCAAATCAACAATCACTGAGAAAGCCTCTTGTGATGACTTTATTTCTGCCCATGAAGAACAACAAACATCCATGCAATCTGAATCTGAGTCAACAGATGCAATCACACTGCGCGAGGAAATCTTGCCCATCACTCGAAGAGGAAGCTTCGTTCAGGATTCCTTCTTCCTCGATGTCCACCAAGAGTTTTACACTGCCATCAGAGAGGTCCTGAAGAAGTGGGTTAGCGCAGACAATGAGGACTTCCTTAGTCTAAGTCACAGCGATATTCTGAACCGCTACAGACAGCTTCGATCCCGTAATTTGAGGGAAGAAACTCAAGTCTCTATCGTCACGTCCGACAACACTAGTTACAAGGTAAGTAGTGCATGAATCACTCCGAGTAATACAATATGATTAAGTGTCTTTTCAAGATCAATTAAATACCAATAGTTTTCCAGTTAACATGCAACTGCTTACATGTGTGTTTTTATGTGAATAGTAATTCATTCAAATATGATACTCATATGTAAGCATTATGCTTATTGTTTAACAATCTTATATCTTTACAGATCGTGTTGGACGTCCAAGACTTCATGAATAGGGATCTGAAGGTGAAGGTGGTGGGCGAGACGAAGGTGGTGGTAGAAGGACGTGTGGCGAAGAGAGAAGGAAGCTCATCCGTGTCCTCATGCTCCTTCCGACGCTGCTTCTCCTTGCCAGAGTATATTGACATGGCAACCATCACGTGCATCATGTCTTCTGATGGCATACTCACAATCATCGCTTCAAAAATGGTATTTAATGATTATCTGTAGATGATATGACGTATGTAATATGTTATAAAGATGAAACTGTCTGCGCATAGCACACATTCGCATGGCTCACACACCAACTCACAAGTACTCACCTCCCCCGCCGACACACACGCACATACACAACACACACACACACACTCATGTCTCTGTGTCCATAAAATTCAACCTGAATTGTTTAACAGACAGAAGAATCGGAAGAAGACAAAGTGGTCAGCTCCATTGAGGAAGTTCAAGAATCCTCTGAAGTTCAACGCTCGGTATCCCCAACTAATGAAACAATCTCTCTCCATGAGGAATGTGAAAAGGCAAGCAAAGCCACATATGACTGCATGGATTCTATGGCAGAAGATACCAGCATTGAGTTCGAAGATGTAAAGACTCCACTCTCTGAAGAAATGTGTCACTCAGTGAAATCTGAGACAGCTCAACAGTTCCTTCTGTCGACTGATTCTGCAGCAACATCGAGTCATGATACTGATTTCGGCATTGTAGAAACTCAAAATCAGAGCAAAGACACTATTGGCACACTAGAATCTATTGTAACTGAAGAAGCGATGGCTGATGATTCAGCTTCTGTGTCTTACTCTGAGTCTGCAGAAATTACAGAAGCTTCCCTATGTCGCCGAAGTTCGATTGGCTTGAATGAAACGTTTGGTGATAATTCTGAATCACGTGACTTTGGAACTTCCCAGGATTCTCTTCCTTCTGTCATTCCCGAAGAAGAAAACGAATCTGAAACTGTTGGAGTCCTTCATCTTGATGACTCCCAACAGGCAATTGAAAATCTTGACCTGCACTGACTCACAAGAATCTGTTAGCATTCTTGATGCAAAGGATTCAGAAGCTGTTGAAATACTTGATCTGAAAGACTCACAGGAATCTGCTGACATTCTTCAAGTGAAAGGTTCAGAAGCCGTTGAAATTCTTGATCTGACAGACTCACAAGAATCTGTTGACATTCTTGATACAAAAGGCTCAGCTGTTGAAAATCTTGACCTGAAAAGCTCACACGAATCTGATGACATTCTTGATGTACAAGACCTACAGGAGTCTGCTGACATTGTTGAGGTGAAAGGTACAGCTGTTGAAATTCTTGGTCTGACAGACTCACAACAATCTGTTGACATTCGTGATGTGAAAGACTCACATGAATCTATTGACATTCTTGAAGTGAAAGGCTCAGAAGTTGTAGAAATTCCTGACCTTAAAGATTCCCAAGAATCTACGGAAATTTTGCATCAAAAGGATTCAGAGGAAGCTGCTGAAATTATTGATCTGAAGGATTCAGAAGCTGTTGAAATTCTTGATCTTAAAGATTCCCAGGAATCTGTTGGCATTCTTGATGTGAAAGATTCACAGGAAGCTGTTGCTGAGGCTCAGAATACGTTCAAAACTCAGAACTCAAAGTCTTCAACCATTTTGGACGATGTCACTGAGGATGCCGTACCTGTGCAAGAAAGGTCCAAACCAGTTTCTGAGGAAACGCTCGACAGTAAAATGAATCAGTTGGCAGCAACTGAGAGTTGCACAGATTCCCTTCAGTCATCTGAAATTCTTGTACCTATGAAAAGGAAGTCATCGATACTCTTGGGCAGCTGAAACTTAAAGAGATGACTGAAACCGTACGTACAGAAGAGTCTACAGAAACTGGTGAATCCTTGAAAGGAATGAGAAGCGTTCACAGAGATTCACCAGAAGAGCTCTTGCTCATCACCAAAAGAGGAAACTTCTTCCAAGACTCATTCTTCCTTGACACTCAGCGAAACTTCAGTGCCGCTCTCAGGCAGGTGTTGGACAGGTGCAATGAAGAAAACTTTGAGAACGACATTAACCTCTGTTACACCGATATCCTGGAACGCTACAGGCAGCTTCGATCTCGCGATCTGAAGGAAGAGAATCAGGCTGTTATCGTTACATCAGACAAGTCTTGTCTAAAGGTTAGTTAATACTACTGTCATAGTTTTTTGTTTTTTTATCAATATACTGATTACCATCGATAGCATTAGAAAATAATTACTAGCATGATTTTTTAAAACTAAGCACTTTAAAAGACGGGTTGCCATATAAAAACTACCTATTGTTTCCAGATAATTATGGACGTTTATGAGTTCATGAGTGGAGATATACAAGCGAAGGTTGTTGATGAGAAAGAGTTAGTCATTGAGGGACGTGTGGTGAAGAGCGAAGGAACCTCATCCGAGACCTCTCACTCCTTCAGACGCCGCTTCTCTCTTCCGCAATATACTGATATCACTTCTGTTATGTCGTTAGATGGCATCCTCACAGTTACTGTGATCTTTAAGGTATGTTCCAATCATATGTTGTTAATGACAACTGGGAGTATATCACCTATGAAAAGAAAAGAAAAAAAATATATACACTATACAAATATAGTATCAAATGATTATTTTGCAGGAAGGAAATGTCGAGCTAAATACAGCTAAAAAGACTGAAGCAAAATGCAACATAACAAAAGAAATTATTGACTCAAAATCACCTTCCCTTTCTGCTGAAAAGCATGTGCTTGAGGCGAAGGCTGAAAATCGTGATAGATTGAACAAGAATGTGACATTACAGTCACAGGAAACTCGTAATTTCACGTCGGGGACAGAGAGGTCCAAACTTGATTCCTTCGAGGACAACAATAGACTGAGACGCTATGGACGAGGCTATAACAGGGAGTCTGAAGAAACCAACAGATATAACGTCACCGAAGACACAAGTATGGGAACGTCCTCTCGTTTCACGAGTGTTTCTCAGTGTAGCTCCGCATTGAAGTCTTTTCCAGTGACGAGGAAAGGACTGTTCTTCTCCTGATTACTTTTTCCGAGACACAAGGGAGGATTTCCAGAAAGCCGTAAGGGAAATCCTGAACAAATGGGGAGAGAAGTCGTCTTCCGGTGACGAGATGACTTGCTACAGAAAACTACGAGCACGAAATATGAGGGAAGATAATCAGGCAGTGACGTCTTCGGAAGATGAACGTCATTATAAGGTAAACTAGACATAAACTAGTTTCATTTGTTACTTTGTTAAGCAATATTATTATGAGAACTCATGTAAACCGACTTTGTCATGTATTATTTTTATTTTATTTTATTTATTTATTTATCTATTTATTTTAGTTCGTCATTGATGTCCAAGACTTTATGAACGTTGGAGAGATCAGCGTGAAGGCTGCGAACGAGAGAGAGTTGGTGGTTGAAGGTCACTTGGAGAGGAAGGAAGACGGTTCGAAGTCCAGCAAGCGGTTCCTTCGTCGGTTCATTGTTCCTGGAGACATTGAGCTCGAGGCTGTCATTTCAGTCATGTCTTCTGACGGAGTGCTTAAAATCTTAGCTCCGAAGAGGGTAGGTTATACTTACTTATGTATGTGTGTTCACATGCACATACACACATGCGCGTGCATGCAAATACATATGAATATATATACATACAGTATATGTACATGCCTGTATATATTTACATATATGAATATATGTACACACATACATACACATACACACACATATGTGTATATATATATGAATTAATATATATACAGATATATATGTCATATAGAGATGGGTAGTGCTGTTTATGTTTTCATGTATGGGAGGAAAAAAAAACTGATAGTGAAGAGCAGTGCAAACATAAGAGAAAGATATGAAAATCGCAAGTGTATCTTTATGTGCATAATATACAATACATGCCAAAAGTTGTCATACATGCAAAGGCGTGATTGTTAAATACATAATATAAATATTCCTAAATTTCACATACCTTCCTTGTTCCACAGCTTGGCCACAACCGAAAACATGTTTCGACTGACATGGACGATGGCGATGCAATGTTTTCAAGGAAATTCACAAGTGGGCATCGTCTCACCGATAACCTTTTTGGGAACAGAGATTCATCTTCGGATGACGAGGATTTTAGGACATTTGCCAGGCAAATCAATGATCGCTACCAAGTCACTTTCCAAGATACGACGAAGAATTTGAAGATGGACATTTGCTCAACAAGGAGATAAAGATGAAAACTGACAAGGACTTTAAATATGACATTCCAAGCTTTTCAACGGAAACCAGGGTTTTATACGTGGACAGAAGGGGTGTATTCACTGAAGACTATTTCTTCGCGAATGTTCGTGACAGCTTCAGCCAAGCAGTGAGAGAAGTGCTGGAAAAGACTAATGAATGGACCTGTCGAAGTGACGCCATGCACAACTACAGACGTCTGCGTCAGCGCAACCTCAAGTTGGAAACTCAGGCTGCTGGCATCATTGACGATCAAGACTCACACAAGGTGGGTGTAAAACTGCTTTTTCACGTAAACCAATTTCATATCACATTTTAAATGATTATTTCTGGGAAGAGTGAATAGGTAGTTTCGTAATCAAATGTTTTTTTCCTTTTCAGATTGTGATGGACGTTTTTGATTTCATTAAGGGCGACGTGACAGTGCAGCTGGTGAAGGGCAAGGAACTGCTGGTCGAGGGTCAAGCAGAGAAGCAGGACGGAAGCAGAGTGTCCCGAGTGAGCTTCGAGCGTCGCTTTGCGTTGCCTGAGCTCGTCGACCGAGACGCCATCAGCTGCGTGTTGTCCTCGGACGGAATCCTGACAATCATCTCCAAGAAGAGAGCATGCGAGTACAGGACTAGTGCAAGGGGACTTTCCAGTGAGAGGAAGTCCTACGGTGACAGGGCTGGCAGGTGGGAGGACAAGAAAGTGAAGGACTCCCTCGCGGATCTGGAAGGCCCCAGCTCTCGGAGCTTCAGCACTGGCTCTCGCTCCCGCTACCATCGCTCCTATACGAAACAATATTAGAGTAAAAGTCCTTATATATATTTATAACTGCATATTTACAAAAAAAAAAAGTAATTCTTGTGCTCAATAAGTGATTATTTTTGTGATATATACATATTAATTTTACTGCTGAGGAGTGCCTTTATATGTGCATTCTATCCTACATATCTACAAGTTTACATGTTTTGTATTTTTAAATCACATTCCTTGCCATAAATACCGTCATACTTTATTTTGAAGAAAAAGTGTATTTGTATATGCAAATAAAATAACTTACTATATCTATAACTGCATTGATCCTATTTTCAGATAGCATTATCTTGTTATAAGTTTTATATCAACCAGAATTCAGAGTCCAAAAGATCATGAAAAAAATAAGTACATAAAACAAAACAAAAATGGAGCGCTTGAGAGACACAACACAATTTATGGGGGACAAAATATCCCTCACCCAGCCACTTGACGCCTCTGGCAACAACAAATGTTTATCATCATTATTACTTTTATCCCCAAAGAAAAAAGACACACTGATGCCCACATAGACTATTAGATGCACGCACACAGGTGTTCAAATGCACTCATTTGCACACCGATGCTGAGAGGCACAAACGCGTGAATACACGACCCAGTAATTACACTAACACGCTTCATATCAAACTCCGTAGAGTTAGAGATGTTGGTTTGGTAGCGTGTTACCCAACTACAGGTAATGTCTCAGGTGATGTAAAAGTGATCTCGTGGTCAAAATAAAAAGAACAATAAAATAATATCACTGGCTAATTCAAAAGGCGACATAAAAAGAGCATCCATAAATATATGTTCATTTCGCACAGATCTTTCGAACACAACCAATATACAAGACAACACACCATACACACCATGCCCCAGCACGAGAGACACCAGCCAACACAAGATAAAAGCTTCTCTCTCTCCCTCCCGACGTGGCTTGATCTTTTATACTGGTGGCTTCCCGCGCTTGGTGCTGTTTTACCCGTAACACAGTCTATTTCATTTATTTAATAGAGTGTGATAAGTTTAGAATAAGCTTGAAAATACATAAAATAAAAGGAATAATAAAATTATACAAACAATAGGTGGCAGGAAAGTACGAAAAAGTGAAAGGGATCCTTGGGGGAAAGACGAGAAAAACGAAGAGAAAAAAACGAAAAAAAATGAGTTAGAGGGATATATATACATATATATGTGTGTATGTATGAATGTATGTGCATATGTATATGCATAAGATATATGCATAACAATGATAACGATAACAATAATAATGATGGTAATAATAATAATGATGATGGTGATAATGGTATTCATCATTATAATGATAATAATGATACTAATAATAATAATAAGAATAAAAATAAGAAAAACAATAATAAAATTGATACTGAGAATGGTGACGATGATGATGATAAAAATAACAATATAATGATAATGATTATAATACTGATAATGATAATCATGATAATCATGACAGTAATGATAATAACCATAAGTAACCAAATTCCACCGTGTGCCCATAGAGAGTGTATGTAAAGAGTTTTTATTCATGTATATATATATATATATATATGCATGTGTGTGTTTGTGTTGTGTGCGTGTGTGTGGGTGTTGTATGTGAGTTTTTGTATATGTATATATGGATAGATATGGATATACAGGTATATATATATATAGATATTTGTGTGAGTATGTGTATGTTTTTACATATCTTAATATACATATGCTTGTATGTTGTGTGTCTGTATTAGCGTGTGTGTTGTGTGTGCGTTTTTTCCATATATACAGATGTATATATGGATATACATCTGTTTATCTATCTATCTATCTACATATGTGTGTGTGTGTATATATATTGATAGACAGATATATTTGCGTGTGCTTGTGTGTGTTTACATACTTTTATATATATGTATACACACACACATACATATATGTGTGTGTGCGTGCACGCGTACATGAATGTATGTCATCGATTCCAGGTAAAAGGTTCCTTAGTTAAAGTTAAAAATAATCTTATTCGAAAAAGAGTGTTGCAAATCTTCCCGAAATATCCTCCGACGCATTGAACAGTGTTGTAATGCAATACTACTTCAGTCGTGCTGATACTGGACCTCAGATGTTTACTCACGTCTCTGGACTTTGGCAGCCACGCAAAAGCTGTTCATGCCAAGTGACGCCGCTGCCACGTCACACGCTAGCACTCGCCAGAGACAGTATATATGTTTGCAGTTCTCGCAAGAATCTTCAGTTCACAAGCGCACGTGCACCTTCAAAGATCTCCTCTCAAGTCATAGCACAAGTGTATATATATTCCTACTTTGAAAATGGCACCCATTCAGATGGAAAAGTCCTACGTGAAAGTGTCCTCCACACCCGCTGCAAAGTGCTCTCGGCAGGCAAGGTCAAGCAGCAGGTCATGGGATGTGATCCTTCCTATCAGTCGCAGAGGAAGCTTCTTCCAAGACTCGTTTTTCTCTGACATACACAAGGATTTTGACTCCTCCGTCAGGGAGGTGTTGGCCAGATGGAGTGACGAAGACCTGAAAGTGAAAGACTTCCGCCGGGATGATATTATGAACCGTTACAGACAGCTTCGATCTCGTAACCTAAATGAAGGGAACCAGGCTGTCACAGTCACATCTGACAACACAAGTCATAAGGTGAGTCGGTATAACGATCGCTGTTTCCAATTAGTCACTGGACGAGACACGGTTAAATAGTGTTTAAAATCGGAGAATGCGTCTACATATAGCTAAAGTTATAACACTTAAATTCTATCTCCCAGATTGTGCTGGACGTGCATGACTTCATGTGTGGAGATGTGAGAGTGAAAGTGTTGGACGAGGAATTGTTAGTGGAAGGACACGTGGAGAAGAAGGAGGAAGGAAGCTCATCCGTCTCGTCACACTCCTTCAGACGATACTTCTCTTTGCCTCAACACACAGACATGACAACAATAACGTCCGTCATGTCTGCAGATGGTATCCTCACAGTCACTGCGCCAAAAATAGTGAGTCAATTATTTTCTTGTAAACAGTGAGTATATAAACAGAGGAATGCTGTATGAGTAAAGAAGAACGCAACATTATATTGATATTAATAATAAATCTTATTTTGTCTCACAGAAAACAGAAATGACAAAGGAAAATGCAATCAATCAAACTTCCGCTTCGAATTATCATGAGAAAGTCGGCGAAACACGAAAACAAACAGACTCAGAACACTTGTCTTCTACACGAAAAGAAAGCTGTTTGTGTGATCTTGGTTTCAAAAGAACAGCTGATTCCTCTGGGTTTCACTACGGTTCGTGGGACACATCCTTGCCCATCACTCGAAGAGGAGGCTTCTTCCAGGACTCCTTCTTCTCCGGTACACATCGCGACTTCGATGCCTCCATCAGGAAGGTCCTCAATGGCTGGAATGACGCCGATCACCAGCTGGCGGACTTCTGGGACGATGACGACTTCCACCGCAGCGACAGACTGGGCCGCTACAGGCAGCTTCGATCGCGGAACCTGTGGAGTGACAACCAGGCCGTTACAGTTATTTTAGATAACATTAGTTATAAGGTAAGTTGCTTGAAGACTGCACACCCTTATTCAATTCATCTACATGTGTAAGATATAAATCATTCTTACGTTTCATGGACGACTGAGAAACTTTGGTTATGAATATTAATACACTTGGAGAGGAAGGAAGACGGTTCGAAGTCCAGCAAGCGGTTCCTTCGTCGGTTCATTGTTCCTGGAGACATTGAGCTCGAGGCTGTCATTTCAGTCATGTCTTCTGACGGAGTGCTTAAAATCTTAGCTCCGAAGAGGGTAGGTTATACTTATGTATGTGTGTGTTCACATGCACATACACACATGCGCGTGCATGCAAATACATATGAATATATATACATACAGTATATGTACATGCCTGTATATATTTACATATATGAATATATGTACACACATACATACACATACACACACATATGTGTATATATATATGAATTAATATATATACAGATATATATGTCATATAGAGATGGGTAGTGCTGTTTATGTTTTCATGTATGGGAGGAAAAAAAAACTGATAGTGAAGAGCAGTGCAAACATAAGAGAAAGATATGAAAATCGCAAGTGTATCTTTATGTGCATAATATACAATACATGCCAAAAGTTGTCATACATGCAAAGGCGTGATTGTTAAATACATAATATAAATATTCCTAAATTTCACATACCTTCCTTGTTCCACAGCTTGGCCACAACCGAAAACATGTTTCGACTGACATGGACGATGGCGATGCAATGTTTTCAAGGAAATTCACAAGTGGGCATCGTCTCACCGATAACCTTTTTGGGAAGAGAGATTCATCTTCGGATGACGAGGATTTTAGGACATTTGCCAGGCAAATCAATGATCGCTACCAAGTCGCTTTCCAAGACGACGAAGACTTTGAAGATGGACATTTGCTCAACAAGGAGACAAAGATGAAAACTGACAAAGGGTTTAAATATGAGATTCCAAGCTTTTCAACGGAAACCAGGGTTTTATACGTGGACAGAAGGGGTGTATTCACTGAAGACTATTTCTTCGCGAATGTTCGTGACAGCTTCAGCCAAGCAGTGAGAGAAGTGCTGGAAAAGACTAATGAATGGACCTGTCGAAGTGACGCCATGCACAACTACAGACGTCTGCGTCAGCGCAACCTCAAGTTGGAAACTCAGGCTGCTGGCATCATTGACGATCAAGACTCACACAAGGTGGGTGTAAAACTGCTTTTTCACGTAAACCAATTTCATATCACATTTTAAATGATTATTTCTGGGAAGAGTGAATAGGTAGTTTCGTAATCAAATGTTTTTTTCCTTTTCAGATTGTGATGGACGTTTTTGATTTCATTAAGGGCGACGTGACAGTGCAGCTGGTGAAGGGCAAGGAACTGCTGGTCGAGGGTCAAGCAGAGAAGCAGGACGGAAGCAGAGTGTCCCGAGTGAGCTTCGAGCGTCGCTTTGCGTTGCCTGAGCTCGTCGACCGAGACGCCATCAGCTGCGTGTTGTCCTCGGACGGAATCCTGACAATCATCTCCAAGAAGAGAGCATGCGAGTACAGGACTAGTGCAAGGGGACTTTCCAGTGAGAGGAAGTCCTACGGTGACAGGGCTGGCAGGTGGGAGGACAAGAAAGTGAAGGACTCCCTCGCGGATCTGGAAGGCCCCAGCTCTCGGAGCTTCAGCACTGGCTCTCGCTCCCGCTACCATCGCTCCTATACGAAACAATATTAGAGTAAAAGTCTTTATATATATTTATAACTGCATATTTACAAAAAAAAAAAAAGTAATTCTTGTGCTCAATAAGTGATTATTTTTGTGATATATACATATTAATTTTACTGCTGAGGAGTGCCTTTATATGTGCATTCTATCCTACATATCTACAAGTTTACATGTTTTGTATTTTTAAATCACATTCCTTGCCATAAATACCGTCATACTTTATTTTGAAGAAAAAGTGTATTTGTATATGCAAATAAAATTACTTACTATATCTATAACTGCATTGATCCTATTTTCAGATAGCATTATCTTGTTATAAGTTTTATATCAACCAGAATTCTGAGTCCAAAAGATCATGAAAAAATAAGTACATAAAACAAAACAAAAATGGAGCGCTTGAGAGACACAAACACAATTTATGGGGGACAAAATATCCCTCACCCAGCCACTTGACGCCTCTGGCAACAACAAATGTTTATCATCATTATTACTTTTATCCCCAAAGAAAAAAGACACACTGATGCCCACATAGACTATTAGATGCACGCACACAGGTGTTCAAATGCACTCATTTGCACACCGATGCTGAGAGGCACAAACGCGTGAATACACGACCCAGTAATTACACTAACACGCTTCATATCAAACTCCGTAGAGTTAGAGATGTTGGTTTGGTAGCGTGTTACCCAACTACAGGTAATGTCTCAGGTGATGTAAAAGTGATCTCGTGGTCAAAATAAAAAGAACAATAAAATAATATCACTGGCTAATTCAAAAGGCGACATAAAAAGAGCATCCATAAATATATGTTCATTTCGCACAGATCTTTCGAACACAACCAATATACAAGACAACACACCATACACACCATGCCCCAGCACGAGAGACACCAGCCAACACAAGATAAAAGCTTCTCTCTCTCCCTCCCGACGTGGCTTGATCTTTTATACTGGTGGCTTCCCGCGCTTGGTGCTGTTTTACCCGTAACACAGTCTATTTCATTTATTTAATAGAGTGTGATAAGTTTAGAATAAGCTTGAAAATACATAAAATAAAAGGAATAATAAAATTATACAAACAATAGGTGGCAGGAAAGTACGAAAAAGTGAAAGGGATCCTTGGGGGAAAGACGAGAAAAACGAAGAGAAAAAAACGAAAAAAAATGAGTTAGAGGGATATATATACATATATATGTGTGTATGTATGAATGTATGTGCATATGTATATGCATAAGATATATGCATAACAATGATAACGATAACAATAATAATGATGGTAATAATAATAATGATGATGGTGATAATGGTATTCATCATTATAATGATAATAATGATACTAATAATAATAAGAAGAATAAAAATAAGAAAAACAATAATAAAATTGATACTGAGAATGGTGACGATGATGATAAAAATAACAATAATAATAATAATGATTATAATACTGATAATGATAATCATGATATAATCATGACAGTAATGATAATAACCATAAGTAACCAAATTCCACCGTGTGCCCATAGAGAGTGTATGTAAAGAGTTTTTATTCATGTATATATATATATATATATATATATATGCATGTGTGTGTTTGTGTTGTGTGCGTGTGTGTGGGTGTTGTATGTGAGTTTTTGTATATGTATATATGGATAGATATGGATATACAGGTATATATATATATAGATATTTGTGTGAGTATGTGTATGTTTTTACATATCTTAATATACATATGCTTGTATGTTGTGTGTCTGTATTAGCGTGTGTGTTGTGTGTGCGTTTTTTCCATATATACAGATGTATATATGGATATACATCTGTTTATCTATCTATCTATCTATCTACATATGTGTGTGTGTGTATATATATTGATAGACAGATATATTTGCGTGTGCTTGTGTGTGTTTACATACTTTTATATATATGTATACACACACACATACATATATGTGTGTGTGCGTGCACGCGTACATGAATGTATGTCATCGATTCCAGGTAAAAGGTTCCTTAGTTAAAGTTAAAAATAATCTTATTCGAAAAAGAGTGTTGCAAATCTTCCCGAAATATCCTCCGACGCATTGAACAGTGTTGTAATGCAATACTACTTCAGTCGTGCTGATACTGGACCTCAGATGTTTACTCACGTCTCTGGACTTTGGCAGCCACGCAAAAGCTGTTCATGCCAAGTGACGCCGCTGCCACGTCACACGCTAGCACTCGCCAGAGACAGTATATATGTTTGCAGTTCTCGCAAGAATCTTCAGTTCACAAGCGCACGTGCACCTTCAAAGATCTCCTCTCAAGTCATAGCACAAGTGTATATATATTCCTACTTTGAAAATGGCACCCATTCAGATGGAAAAGTCCTACGTGAAAGTGTCCTCCACACCCGCTGCAAAGTGCTCTCGGCAGGCAAGGTCAAGCAGCAGGTCATGGGATGTGATCCTTCCTATCAGTCGCAGAGGAAGCTTCTTCCAAGACTCGTTTTTCTCTGACATACACAAGGATTTTGACTCCTCCGTCAGGGAGGTGTTGGCCAGATGGAGTGACGAAGACCTGAAAGTGAAAGACTTCCGCCGGGATGATATTATGAACCGTTACAGACAGCTTCGATCTCGTAACCTAAATGAAGGGAACCAGGCTGTCACAGTCACATCTGACAACACAAGTCATAAGGTGAGTCGGTATAACGATCGCTGTTTCCAATTAGTCACTGGACGAGACACGGTTAAATAGTGTTTAAAATCGGAGAATGCGTCTACATATAGCTAAAGTTATAACACTTAAATTCTATCTCCCAGATTGTGCTGGACGTGCATGACTTCATGTGTGGAGATGTGAGAGTGAAAGTGTTGGACGAGGAATTGTTAGTGGAAGGACACGTGGAGAAGGAGGAAGGAAGCTCATCCGTCTCGTCACACTCCTTCAGACGATACTTCTCTTTGCCTCAACACACAGACATGACAACAATAACGTCCGTCATGTCTGCAGATGGTATCCTCACAGTCACTGCGCCAAAAATAGTGAGTCAATTATTTTCTTGTAAACAGTGAGTATATAAACAGAGGAATGCTGTATGAGTAAAGAAGAACGCAACATTATATTGATATTAATAATAAATCTTATTTTGTCTCACAGAAAACAGAAATGACAAAGGAAAATGCAATCAATCAAACTTCCGCTTCGAATTATCATGAGAAAGTCGGCGAAACACGAAAACAAACAGACTCAGAACACTTGTCTTCTACACGAAAAGAAAGCTGTTTGTGTGATCTTGGTTTCAAAAGAACAGCTGATTCCTCTGGGTTTCACTACGGTTCGTGGGACACATCCTTGCCCATCACTCGAAGAGGAGGCTTCTTCCAGGACTCCTTCTTCTCCGGTACACATCGCGACTTCGATGCCTCCATCAGGAAGGTCCTCAATGGCTGGAATGACGCCGATCACCAGCTGGCGGACTTCTGGGACGATGACGACTTCCACCGCAGCGACAGACTGGGCCGCTACAGGCAGCTTCGATCGCGGAACCTGTGGAGTGACAACCAGGCCGTTACAGTTATTTTAGATAACATTAGTTATAAGGTAAGTTGCTTGAAGACTGCACACCCTTATTCAATTCATCTACATGTGTAAGATATAAATCATTCTTACGTTTCATGGACGACTGAGAAACTTTGGTTATGAATATTAATACACTTGGAGAGGAAGGAAGACGGTTCGAAGTCCAGCAAGCGGTTCCTTCGTCGGTTCATTGTTCCTGGAGACATTGAGCTCGAGGCTGTCATTTCAGTCATGTCTTCTGACGGAGTGCTTAAAATCTTAGCTCCGAAGAGGGTAGGTTATACTTATGTATGTGTGTGTTCACATGCACATACACACATGCGCGTGCATGCAAATACATATGAATATATATACATACAGTATATGTACATGCCTGTATATATTTACATATATGAATATATGTACACACATACATACACATACACACACATATGTGTATATATATATGAATTAATATATATACAGATATATATGTCATATAGAGATGGGTAGTGCTGTTTATGTTTTCATGTATGGGAGGAAAAAAAAACTGATAGTGAAGAGCAGTGCAAACATAAGAGAAAGATATGAAAATCGCAAGTGTATCTTTATGTGCATAATATACAATACATGCCAAAAGTTGTCATACATGCAAAGGCGTGATTGTTAAATACATAATATAAATATTCCTAAATTTCACATACCTTCCTTGTTCCACAGCTTGGCCACAACCGAAAACATGTTTCGACTGACATGGACGATGGCGATGCAATGTTTTCAAGGAAATTCACAAGTGGGCATCGTCTCACCGATAACCTTTTTGGGAAGAGAGATTCATCTTCGGATGACGAGGATTTTAGGACATTTGCCAGGCAAATCAATGATCGCTACCAAGTCGCTTTCCAAGACGACGAAGACTTTGAAGATGGACATTTGCTCAACAAGGAGACAAAGATGAAAACTGACAAAGGGTTTAAATATGAGATTCCAAGCTTTTCAACGGAAACCAGGGTTTTATACGTGGACAGAAGGGGTGTATTCACTGAAGACTATTTCTTCGCGAATGTTCGTGACAGCTTCAGCCAAGCAGTGAGAGAAGTGCTGGAAAAGACTAATGAATGGACCTGTCGAAGTGACGCCATGCACAACTACAGACGTCTGCGTCAGCGCAACCTCAAGTTGGAAACTCAGGCTGCTGGCATCATTGACGATCAAGACTCACACAAGGTGGGTGTAAAACTGCTTTTTCACGTAAACCAATTTCATATCACATTTTAAATGATTATTTCTGGGAAGAGTGAATAGGTAGTTTCGTAATCAAATGTTTTTTTCCTTTTCAGATTGTGATGGACGTTTTTGATTTCATTAAGGGCGACGTGACAGTGCAGCTGGTGAAGGGCAAGGAACTGCTGGTCGAGGGTCAAGCAGAGAAGCAGGACGGAAGCAGAGTGTCCCGAGTGAGCTTCGAGCGTCGCTTTGCGTTGCCTGAGCTCGTCGACCGAGACGCCATCAGCTGCGTGTTGTCCTCGGACGGAATCCTGACAATCATCTCCAAGAAGAGAGCATGCGAGTACAGGACTAGTGCAAGGGGACTTTCCAGTGAGAGGAAGTCCTACGGTGACAGGGCTGGCAGGTGGGAGGACAAGAAAGTGAAGGAGTCCCTCGCGGATCTGGAAGGCCCCAGCTCTCGGAGCTTCAGCACTGGCTCTCGCTCCCGCTACCATCGCTCCTATACGAAACAATATTAGAGTAAAAGTCTTTATATATATTTATAACTGCATATTTACAAAAAAAAAAAAAGTAATTCTTGTGCTCAATAAGTGATTATTTTTGTGATATATACATATTAATTTTACTGCTGAGGAGTGCCTTTATATGTGCATTCTATCCTACATATCTACAAGTTTACATGTTTTGTATTTTTAAATCACATTCCTTGCCATAAATACCGTCATACTTTATTTTGAAGAAAAAGTGTATTTGTATATGCAAATAAAATTACTTACTATATCTATAACTGCATTGATCCTATTTTCAGATAGCATTATCTTGTTATAAGTTTTATATCAACCAGAATTCTGAGTCCAAAAGATCATGAAAAAATAAGTACATAAAACAAAACAAAAATGGAGCGCTTGAGAGACACAAACACAATTTATGGGGGACAAAATATCCCTCACCCAGCCACTTGACGCCTCTGGCAACAACAAATGTTTATCATCATTATTACTTTTATCCCCAAAGAAAAAAGACACACTGATGCCCACATAGACTATTAGATGCACGCACACAGGTGTTCAAATGCACTCATTTGCACACCGATGCTGAGAGGCACAAACGCGTGAATACACGACCCAGTAATTACACTAACACGCTTCATATCAAACTCCGTAGAGTTAGAGATGTTGGTTTGGTAGCGTGTTACCCAACTACAGGTAATGTCTCAGGTGATGTAAAAGTGATCTCGTGGTCAAAATAAAAAGAACAATAAAATAATATCACTGGCTAATTCAAAAGGCGACATAAAAAGAGCATCCATAAATATATGTTCATTTCGCACAGATCTTTCGAACACAACCAATATACAAGACAACACACCATACACACCATGCCCCAGCACGAGAGACACCAGCCAACACAAGATAAAAGCTTCTCTCTCTCCCTCCCGACGTGGCTTGATCTTTTATACTGGTGGCTTCCCGCGCTTGGTGCTGTTTTACCCGTAACACAGTCTATTTCATTTATTTAATAGAGTGTGATAAGTTTAGAATAAGCTTGAAAATACATAAAATAAAAGGAATAATAAAATTATACAAACAATAGGTGGCAGGAAAGTACGAAAAAGTGAAAGGGATCCTTGGGGGAAAGACGAGAAAAACGAAGAGAAAAAAACGAAAAAAAATGAGTTAGAGGGATATATATACATATATATGTGTGTATGTATGAATGTATGTGCATATGTATATGCATAAGATATATGCATAACAATGATAACGATAACAATAATAATGATGGTAATAATAATAATGATGATGGTGATAATGGTATTCATCATTATAATGATAATAATGATACTAATAATAATAATAAGAATAAAAATAAGAAAAACAATAATAAAATTGATACTGAGAATGGTGACGATGATGATGATAAAAATAACAATAATAATAATAATGATTATAATACTGATAATGATAATCATGATATAATCATGACAGTAATGATAATAACCATAAGTAACCAAATTCCACCGTGTGCCCATAGAGAGTGTATGTAAAGAGTTTTTATTCATGTATATATATATATATATATATATGCATGTGTGTGTTTGTGTTGTGTGCGTGTGTGTGGGTGTTGTATGTGAGTTTTTGTATATGTATATATGGATAGATATGGATATACAGGTATATATATATATAGATATTTGTGTGAGTATGTGTATGTTCTTACATATCTTAATATACATATGCTTGTATGTTGTGTGTCTGTATTAGCGTGTGTGTTGTGTGTGCGTTTTTTCCATATATACAGATGTATATATGGATATACATCTGTTTATCTATCTATCTATCTATCTACATATGTGTGTGTGTGTATATATATTGATAGACAGATATATTTGCGTGTGCTTGTGTGTGTTTACATACTTTTATATATATGTATACACACACACATACATATATGTGTGTGTGCGTGCACGCGTACATGAATGTATGTCATCGATTCCAGGTAAAAGGTTCCTTAGTTAAAGTTAAAAATAATCTTATTCGAAAAAGAGTGTTGCAAATCTTCCCGAAATATCCTCCGACGCATTGAACAGTGTTGTAATGCAATACTACTTCAGTCGTGCTGATACTGGACCTCAGATGTTTACTCACGTCTCTGGACTTTGGCAGCCACGCAAAAGCTGTTCATGCCAAGTGACGCCGCTGCCACGTCACACGCTAGCACTCGCCAGAGACAGTATATATGTTTGCAGTTCTCGCAAGAATCTTCAGTTCACAAGCGCACGTGCACCTTCAAAGATCTCCTCTCAAGTCATAGCACAAGTGTATATATATTCCTACTTTGAAAATGGCACCCATTCAGATGGAAAAGTCCTACGTGAAAGTGTCCTCCACACCCGCTGCAAAGTGCTCTCGGCAGGCAAGGTCAAGCAGCAGGTCATGGGATGTGATCCTTCCTATCAGTCGCAGAGGAAGCTTCTTCCAAGACTCGTTTTTCTCTGACATACACAAGGATTTTGACTCCTCCGTCAGGGAGGTGTTGGCCAGATGGAGTGACGAAGACCTGAAAGTGAAAGACTTCCGCCGGGATGATATTATGAACCGTTACAGACAGCTTCGATCTCGTAACCTAAATGAAGGGAACCAGGCTGTCACAGTCACATCTGACAACACAAGTCATAAGGTGAGTCGGTATAACGATCGCTGTTTCCAATTAGTCACTGGACGAGACACGGTTAAATAGTGTTTAAAATCGGAGAATGCGTCTACATATAGCTAAAGTTATAACACTTAAATTCTATCTCCCAGATTGTGCTGGACGTGCATGACTTCATGTGTGGAGATGTGAGAGTGAAAGTGTTGGACGAGGAATTGTTAGTGGAAGGACACGTGGAGAAGAAGGAGGAAGGAAGCTCATCCGTCTCGTCACACTCCTTCAGACGATACTTCTCTTTGCCTCAACACACAGACATGACAACAATAACGTCCGTCATGTCTGCAGATGGTATCCTCACAGTCACTGCGCCAAAAATAGTGAGTCAATTATTTTCTTGTAAACAGTGAGTATATAAACAGAGGAATGCTGTATGAGTAAAGAAGAACGCAACATTATATTGATATTAATAATAAATCTTATTTTGTCTCACAGAAAATAGAAATGACAAAGGAAAATGCAATCAATCAAACTTCCGCTTCGAATTATCATGAGAAAGTCGGCGAAACACGAAAACAAACAGACTCAGAACACTTGTCTTCTACACGAAAAGAAAGCTGTTTGTGTGATCTTGGTTTCAAAAGAACAGCTGATTCCTCTGGGTTTCACTACGGTTCGTGGGACACATCCTTGCCCATCACTCGAAGAGGAGGCTTCTTCCAGGACTCCTTCTTCTCCGGTACACATCGCGACTTCGATGCCTCCATCAGGAAGGTCCTCAATGGCTGGAATGACGCCGAACACCAGCTGGCGGACTTCTGGGACGATGACGACTTCCACCGCAGCGACAGACTGGGCCGCTACAGGCAGCTTCGATCGCGGAACCTGTGGAGTGACAACCAGGCCGTTACAGTTATTTTAGATAACATTAGTTATAAGGTAAGTTGCTTGAAGACTGCACACCCTTATTCAATTCATCTACATGTGTAAGATATAAATCATTCTTACGTTTCATGGACGACTGAGAAACTTTGGTTATGAATATTAATACACTTGGAGAGGAAGGAAGACGGTTCGAAGTCCAGCAAGCGGTTCCTTCGTCGGTTCATTGTTCCTGGAGACATTGAGCTCGAGGCTGTCATTTCAGTCATGTCTTCTGACGGAGTGCTTAAAATCTTAGCTCCGAAGAGGGTAGGTTATACTTATGTATGTGTGTGTTCACATGCACATACACACATGCGCGTGCATGCAAATACATATGAATATATATACATACAGTATATGTACATGCCTGTATATATTTACATATATGAATATATGTACACACATACATACACATACACACACATATGTGTATATATATATGAATTAATATATATACAGATATATATGTCATATAGAGATGGGTAGTGCTGTTTATGTTTTCATGTATGGGAGGAAAAAAAAACTGATAGTGAAGAGCAGTGCAAACATAAGAGAAAGATATGAAAATCGCAAGTGTATCTTTATGTGCATAATATACAATACATGCCAAAAGTTGTCATACATGCAAAGGCGTGATTGTTAAATACATAATATAAATATTCCTAAATTTCACATACCTTCCTTGTTCCACAGCTTGGCCACAACCGAAAACATGTTTCGACTGACATGGACGATGGCGATGCAATGTTTTCAAGGAAATTCACAAGTGGGCATCGTCTCACCGATAACCTTTTTGGGAAGAGAGATTCATCTTCGGATGACGAGGATTTTAGGACATTTGCCAGGCAAATCAATGATCGCTACCAAGTCGCTTTCCAAGACGACGAAGACTTTGAAGATGGACATTTGCTCAACAAGGAGACAAAGATGAAAACTGACAAAGGGTTTAAATATGAGATTCCAAGCTTTTCAACGGAAACCAGGGTTTTATACGTGGACAGAAGGGGTGTATTCACTGAAGACTATTTCTTCGCGAATGTTCGTGACAGCTTCAGCCAAGCAGTGAGAGAAGTGCTGGAAAAGACTAATGAATGGACCTGTCGAAGTGACGCCATGCACAACTACAGACGTCTGCGTCAGCGCAACCTCAAGTTGGAAACTCAGGCTGCTGGCATCATTGACGATCAAGACTCACACAAGGTGGGTGTAAAACTGCTTTTTCACGTAAACCAATTTCATATCACATTTTAAATGATTATTTCTGGGAAGAGTGAATAGGTAGTTTCGTAATCAAATGTTTTTTTCCTTTTCAGATTGTGATGGACGTTTTTGATTTCATTAAGGGCGACGTGACAGTGCAGCTGGTGAAGGGCAAGGAACTGCTGGTCGAGGGTCAAGCAGAGAAGCAGGACGGAAGCAGAGTGTCCCGAGTGAGCTTCGAGCGTCGCTTTGCGTTGCCTGAGCTCGTCGACCGAGACGCCATCAGCTGCGTGTTGTCCTCGGACGGAATCCTGACAATCATCTCCAAGAAGAGAGCATGCGAGTACAGGACTAGTGCAAGGGGACTTTCCAGTGAGAGGAAGTCCTACGGTGACAGGGCTGGCAGGTGGGAGGACAAGAAAGTGAAGGAGTCCCTCGCGGATCTGGAAGGCCCCAGCTCTCGGAGCTTCAGCACTGGCTCTCGCTCCCGCTACCATCGCTCCTATACGAAACAATATTAGAGTAAAAGTCTTTATATATATTTATAACTGCATATTTACAAAAAAAAAAAAGTAATTCTTGTGCTCAATAAGTGATTATTTTTGTGATATATACATATTAATTTTACTGCTGAGGAGTGCCTTTATATGTGCATTCTATCCTACATATCTACAAGTTTACATGTTTTGTATTTTTAAATCACATTCCTTGCCATAAATACCGTCATACTTTATTTTGAAGAAAAAGTGTATTTGTATATGCAAATAAAATTACTTACTATATCTATAACTGCATTGATCCTATTTTCAGATAGCATTATCTTGTTATAAGTTTTATATCAACCAGAATTCTGAGTCCAAAAGATCATGAAAAAATAAGTACATAAAACAAAACAAAAATGGAGCGCTTGAGAGACACAAACACAATTTATGGGGGACAAAATATCCCTCACCCAGCCACTTGACGCCTCTGGCAACAACAAATGTTTATCATCATTATTACTTTTATCCCCAAAGAAAAAAGACACACTGATGCCCACATAGACTATTAGATGCACGCACACAGGTGTTCAAATGCACTCATTTGCACACCGATGCTGAGAGGCACAAACGCGTGAATACACGACCCAGTAATTACACTAACACGCTTCATATCAAACTCCGTAGAGTTAGAGATGTTGGTTTGGTAGCGTGTTACCCAACTACAGGTAATGTCTCAGGTGATGTAAAAGTGATCTCGTGGTCAAAATAAAAAGAACAATAAAATAATATCACTGGCTAATTCAAAAGGCGACATAAAAAGAGCATCCATAAATATATGTTCATTTCGCACAGATCTTTCGAACACAACCAATATACAAGACAACACACCATACACACCATGCCCCAGCACGAGAGACACCAGCCAACACAAGATAAAAGCTTCTCTCTCTCCCTCCCGACGTGGCTTGATCTTTTATACTGGTGGCTTCCCGCGCTTGGTGCTGTTTTACCCGTAACACAGTCTATTTCATTTATTTAATAGAGTGTGATAAGTTTAGAATAAGCTTGAAAATACATAAAATAAAAGGAATAATAAAATTATACAAACAATAGGTGGCAGGAAAGTACGAAAAAGTGAAAGGGATCCTTGGGGGAAAGACGAGAAAAACGAAGAGAAAAAAACGAAAAAAAATGAGTTAGAGGGATATATATACATATATATGTGTGTATGTATGAATGTATGTGCATATGTATATGCATAAGATATATGCATAACAATGATAACGATAACAATAATAATGATGGTAATAATAATAATGATGATGGTGATAATGGTATTCATCATTATAATGATAATAATGATACTAATAATAATAAGAAGAATAAAAATAAGAAAAACAATAATAAAATTGATACTGAGAATGGTGACGATGATGATGATAAAAATAACAATAATAATAATAATGATTATAATACTGATAATGATAATCATGATATAATCATGACAGTAATGATAATAACCATAAGTAACCAAATTCCACCGTGTGCCCATAGAGAGTGTATGTAAAGAGTTTTTATTCATGTATATATATATATATATATATATATATATATATATGCATGTGTGTGTTTGTGTTGTGTGCGTGTGTGTGGGTGTTGTATGTGAGTTTTTGTATATGTATATATGGATAGATATGGATATACAGGTATATATATATATAGATATTTGTGTGAGTATGTGTATGTTTTTACATATCTTAATATACATATGCTTGTATGTTGTGTGTCTGTATTAGCGTGTGTGTTGTGTGTGCGTTTTTTCCATATATACAGATGTATATATGGATATACATCTGTTTATCTATCTATCTATCTATCTACATATGTGTGTGTGTGTATATATATTGATAGACAGATATATTTGCGTGTGCTTGTGTGTGTTTACATACTTTTATATATATGTATACACACACACATACATATATGTGTGTGTGCGTGCACGCGTACATGAATGTATGTCATCGATTCCAGGTAAAAGGTTCCTTAGTTAAAGTTAAAAATAATCTTATTCGAAAAAGAGTGTTGCAAATCTTCCCGAAATATCCTCCGACGCATTGAACAGTGTTGTAATGCAATACTACTTCAGTCGTGCTGATACTGGACCTCAGATGTTTACTCACGTCTCTGGACTTTGGCAGCCACGCAAAAGCTGTTCATGCCAAGTGACGCCGCTGCCACGTCACACGCTAGCACTCGCCAGAGACAGTATATATGTTTGCAGTTCTCGCAAGAATCTTCAGTTCACAAGCGCACGTGCACCTTCAAAGATCTCCTCTCAAGTCATAGCACAAGTGTATATATATTCCTACTTTGAAAATGGCACCCATTCAGATGGAAAAGTCCTACGTGAAAGTGTCCTCCACACCCGCTGCAAAGTGCTCTCGGCAGGCAAGGTCAAGCAGCAGGTCATGGGATGTGATCCTTCCTATCAGTCGCAGAGGAAGCTTCTTCCAAGACTCGTTTTTCTCTGACATACACAAGGATTTTGACTCCTCCGTCAGGGAGGTGTTGGCCAGATGGAGTGACGAAGACCTGAAAGTGAAAGACTTCCGCCGGGATGATATTATGAACCGTTACAGACAGCTTCGATCTCGTAACCTAAATGAAGGGAACCAGGCTGTCACAGTCACATCTGACAACACAAGTCATAAGGTGAGTCGGTATAACGATCGCTGTTTCCAATTAGTCACTGGACGAGACACGGTTAAATAGTGTTTAAAATCGGAGAATGCGTCTACATATAGCTAAAGTTATAACACTTAAATTCTATCTCCCAGATTGTGCTGGACGTGCATGACTTCATGTGTGGAGATGTGAGAGTGAAAGTGTTGGACGAGGAATTGTTAGTGGAAGGACACGTGGAGAAGAAGGAGGAAGGAAGCTCATCCGTCTCGTCACACTCCTTCAGACGATACTTCTCTTTGCCTCAACACACAGACATGACAACAATAACGTCCGTCATGTCTGCAGATGGTATCCTCACAGTCACTGCGCCAAAAATAGTGAGTCAATTATTTTCTTGTAAACAGTGAGTATATAAACAGAGGAATGCTGTATGAGTAAAGAAGAACGCAACATTATATTGATATTAATAATAAATCTTATTTTGTCTCACAGAAAACAGAAATGACAAAGGAAAATGCAATCAATCAAACTTCCGCTTCGAATTATCATGAGAAAGTCGGCGAAACACGAAAACAAACAGACTCAGAACACTTGTCTTCTACACGAAAAGAAAGCTGTTTGTGTGATCTTGGTTTCAAAAGAACAGCTGATTCCTCTGGGTTTCACTACGGTTCGTGGGACACATCCTTGCCCATCACTCGAAGAGGAGGCTTCTTCCAGGACTCCTTCTTCTCCGGTACACATCGCGACTTCGATGCCTCCATCAGGAAGGTCCTCAATGGCTGGAATGACGCCGATCACCAGCTGGCGGACTTCTGGGACGATGACGACTTCCACCGCAGCGACAGACTGGGCCGCTACAGGCAGCTTCGATCGCGGAACCTGTGGAGTGACAACCAGGCCGTTACAGTTATTTAGATAACATTAGTTATAAGGTAAGTTGCTTGAAGACTGCACACTCTTATTCAATTCATCTACATGTGTAAGATATAAATCATTCTTACGTTTCATGGACGACTGAGAAACTTTGGTTATGAATATTAATATGGTGAATCATTTCACAGATCTTGGTGGATATGCATGACTTTGTGGATGGAGATGTGAAGGTGAAGTTGATGGGCGAGAAGGAGCTGTTGGTGGAGGCCCAGTCGGCCAGGTCCTCGCACACCTTCACACGCACCTTTTCCTTGCCTGAGTCCACTGACATAACGTCCATCACGTCTGTCATGTCGTCAGATGGCATCCTGACAATCACTGCGTCCAAGAAGGTATTGTTCTAGCTTCTCTTGTACTTCACTAATGCCTTATGAAGATTTTATATAAATGAATCCAAAGTGTAGCAGGCATCCGCATAATTAATACGCCTCTATTAACCAACAGGAGAGTGAAACACAACAGAAGACTACTGTCATCCCCATTAATGTCAAGGAAACGCATAATGCTTCAGAAATTCACAGCTCAACTTCCTTGACGACCTCGGGAGCTTCTGAGGAAACAGCATCTGGCCAAGGAATATCCCACACAGCCCAAGAGGAGGAACGCAAATACGCACGATGCTTTCAGGAGAATATCGACGAGGACAAGACCCAAACTGCAACTTCCAATATCTCAAGCAACACCCAACAATCATTACAGAAGCAATCGTCTGTCATGACAGATTTTGCTTCCACAAGAATTTCCGACTCGCTGGGAGCAAAGAAAACTCTTGGGAATAAGCAAGAAGACTCCTTGCTCATCACGAAGAGAGGAAGCTTCTTCCAAGACTCATTCTTCTCCGACATACGCCAAGGCTTCAACGCCTCTGTCAGGGAAATCTTGAAGAAATGCAATGACTCCGATCTCACGGTGACAGACGATGTCAGTCACAGTGACATCTTGAGCCGCTACAGGCAGCTTCGATCTCGAGACATGAGGGAAGAGGACCAGGCCTTCTCCGTCACGTCAGACAGTGCTAGCCTCAAGGTCAGTCCCCAATCTATGTATCAGCATTTCCCACTGACTAATGCTTTATCTATTTACCTGAATTCAATGAAAGTGGACCATTAATTATATGAAACATAATAATTATAATACATTTAGTGCTTTACTTTTAGTTGATGAGCCAAATTACTTCATATACAGCTCTTTCCTGAAAACCTTAGTATGTTTTCATATATTATTGTAAAATTCATTATTATCCCATTCATTGTTTGTTCTTTTCTCTTTCTTTTGATTTTTCTTATTCTTTATTATCATTGTTATCATTATCATATAATATTAATATCAGTGTTATTAATAGCATTATCAATATTATCTATTATCAATATCAATATCACTGTCAAAATTATTATTATTATTAAGATTATCACCACTATTATCATTTTACTATGGCTATTCTTTCCATTAAGTTCCTGATTAAAAATTGTTCTGAAAAACTTCATAGATCGTGCTTGACGTGTATGACTTCATGCGCGGAGACGTCAAGGTGAAAGTCGTAGACGAGAAGGAGCTGGTGGTGGAAGGACGCGTAGAGAAGGAGGAAGGAAGTTCATCCGTCTCGTCACACTCCTTCAGACGCCGCTATTCCCTGCCTCACCGCACTGACATGACACACATTACTTCTGTCATGTCTTCAGATGGTATCCTCACAATAACTGCCCCTAAAACGGTAAATAACATCAACTTTTATGTTTCTAAAACTTGATAGATCCTATATGTTTGCATTTCTGAATCATGTATAAAAAGGTAAATATAAAGACCTCTGGTATGCTAATGATACTGCAATGTATCATTAGGTTAGTCTTTATATGCATAAAGTGAGTAAAACGTCGCTCTCATATCTCATTCAGGCAGGAGAACCACAGCAAAACACGCACGTTAACTTCTCCATGACTGAGGAAAGGAAGGAATCAACGGTTCAAGACTTAACACCCAAGGCACTCTCGTCCACGACGGAGAAAAACATCTCCGTTCACGAGAATCTTGTCAATGTAGATCAGAAGGACTTTGAGTGCGAACAAAAACACATGTACGAGAACAAGATGAGAAAGCTGGAGAAAGAATTTGAATTTCCTGCTGAATCCAAGGAAGTTTTAAAGGCCAAGATCTGTCAAAATCAGTCTGTGGATGAGTCTACAACTGCATCTGTCCATGAACATGGAAACGATACTAATAATAAGGATCATGAACTCAAACGACTGACTGAAACAATCAAATCAACAATCACTGAGAAAGCCTCTTGTGATGACTTTATTTCTGCCCATGAAGAACAACAAACATCCATGCAATCTGAATCTGAGTCAACAGATGCAATCACACTGCGCGAGGAAATCTTGCCCATCACTCGAAGAGGAAGCTTCGTTCAGGATTCCTTCTTCCTCGATGTCCACCAAGAGTTTTACACTGCCATCAGAGAGGTCCTGAAGAAGTGGGTTAGCGCAGACAATGAGGACTTCCTTAGTCTAAGTCACAGCGATATTCTGAACCGCTACAGACAGCTTCGATCCCGTAATTTGAGGGAAGAAACTCAAGTCTCTATCGTCACGTCCGACAACACTAGTTACAAGGTAAGTAGTGCATGAATCACTCCGAGTAATACAATATGATTAAGTGTCTTTTCAAGATCAATTAAATACCAATAGTTTTCCAGTTAACATGCAACTGCTTACATGTGTGTTTTTATGTGAATAGTAATTCATTCAAATATGATACTCATATGTAAGCATTATGCTTATTGTTTAACAATCTTATATCTTTACAGATCGTGTTGGACGTCCAAGACTTCATGAATAGGGATCTGAAGGTGAAGGTGGTGGGCGAGACGAAGGTGGTGGTAGAAGGACGTGTGGCGAAGAGGGAAGAAGGAAGCTCATCCGTGTCCTCATGCTCCTTCCGACGCTGCTTCTCCTTGCCAGAGTATATTGACATGGCAACCATCACGTGCATCATGTCTTCTGACGGCATACTCACAATCATCGCTTCAAAAATGGTATTTAATGATTATCTGTAGATGATATGACGTATGTAATATGTTATAAAGATGAAACTGTCTGCGCATAGCACACATTCGCATGGCTCACACACCAACTCACAAGTACTCCCCTCCCCCGCCGACACACACGCACATACACAACACACACACACACATGTCTCTGTGTCCATAAAATTCAACCTGAATTGTTTAACAGACAGAAGAATCGGAAGAATACAAAGTGGTCAGCTCCATTGAGGAAGTTCAAGAATCCTCTGAAGTTCAACACTCAGTATCCCCAACTAATGAAACAATCTCTCTCCATGAGGAATGTGAAAAGGCAAGCAAAGCCACATATGACTGCATGGATTCTATGGCAGAAGATACCAGCATTGAGTTCGAAGATGTAAAGACTCCACTCTCTGAAGAAATGTGTCACTCAGTGAAATCTGAGACAGCTCAACAGTTCCTTCTGTCGACTGATTCTGCAGCAACATCGAGTCATGATACTGATTTCGGCATTGTAGAAACTCAAAATCAGAGCAAAGACACTATTGGCACACTAGAATCTATTGTAACTGAAGAAGCGATGGCTGATGATTCAGCTTCTGTGTCTTACTCTGAGTCTGCAGAAATTACAGAAGCTTCCCTATGTCGCCGAAGTTCGATTGGCTTGAATGAAACGTTTGGTGATAATTCTGAATCACGTGACTTTGGAACTTCCCAGGATTCTCTTCCTTCTGTCATTCCCGAAGAAGAAAACGAATCTGAAACTGTTGGAGTCCTTCATCTTGATGACTCCCAACAGGCAATTGAAAATCTTGACCTGCACGACTCACAAGAATCTGTTAGCATTCTTGATGCAAAGGATTCAGAAGCTGTTGAAATACTTGATCTGAAAGACTCACAGGAATCTGCTGACATTCTTCAAGTGAAAGGTTCAGAAGCCGTTGAAATTCTTGATCTGACAGACTCACAAGAATCTGTTGACATTCTTGATACAAAAGGCTCAGCTGTTGAAAATCTTGACCTGAAAAGCTCACACGAATCTGATGACATTCTTGATGTACAAGACCTACAGGAGTCTGCTGGACATTGTTGAGGTGAAAGGTACAGCTGTTGAAATTCTTGGTCTGACAGACTCACAACAATCTGTTGACATTCGTGATGTGAAAGACTCACATGAATCTATTGACATTCTTGAAGTGAAAGGCTCAGAAGTTGTAGAAATTCCTGACCTTAAAGATTCCCAAGAATCTACGGAAATTTTGCATCAAAAGGATTCAGAGGAAGCTGCTGAAATTATTGATCTGAAGGATTCAGAAGCTGTTGAAATTCTTGATCTTAAAGATTCCCAGGAATCTGTTGGCATTCTTGATGTGAAAGATTCACAGGAAGCTGTTGCTGAGGCTCAGAATACGTTCAAAACTCAGAACTCAAAGTCTTCAACCATTTTGGACGATGTCACTGAGGATGCCGTACCTGTGCAAGAAAGGTCCAAACCAGTTTCTGAGGAAACGCTCGACAGTAAAATGAATCAGTTGGCAGCAACTGAGAGTTGCACAGATTCCCTTCAGTCATCCGGAGATTCTTGTACCTATGAAAAGGAAGTCATCGATACTCTTGGGCAGCTGAAACTTAAAGAGATGACTGAAACCGTACGTACAGAAGAGTCTACAGAAACTGGTGAATCCTTGAAAGGAATGAGAAGCGTTCACAGAGATTCGCCAGAAGAGCTCTTGCTCATCACCAAAAGAGGAAACTTCTTCCAAGACTCATTCTTCCTTGACACTCACCAAGACTTCAGTGCCGCTCTCAGGCAGGTGTTGGACAGGTGCAATGAAGAAAACTTTGAGAACGACATTAACCTCTGTTACACCGATATCCTGGAACGCTACAGGCAGCTTCGATCTCGCGATCTAAAGGAAGAGAATCAGGCTGTTATCGTTACATCAGACAAGTCTTGTCTAAAGGTTAGTTAATACTACTGTCATAGTTTTTTTGTTTTTTTTTTATCAATATACTGATTACCATCGATAGCATTAGAAAATAATTACTAGCATGATTTTTTAAAACTAAGCACTTTAAAAGACGGGTTGCCATATAAAAACTACCTATTGTTTCCAGATAATTATGGACGTTTATGAGTTCATGAGTGGAGATATACAAGCGAAGGTTGTTGATGAGAAAGAGTTAGTCATTGAGGGACGTGTGGTGAAGAGCGAAGGAACCTCATCCGAGACCTCTCACTCCTTCAGACGCCGCTTCTCTCTTCCGCATTATACTGATATCACTTCTGTTATGTCGTTAGATGGCATCCTCACAGTTACTGTGATCTTTAAGGTATGTTCCAATCATATGTTGTTAATGACAACTGGGAGTATATCACCTATGAAAAAAAAAAACAAAAAAAACATACACTATACAAATATAGTATCAAATGATTATTTTTCAGGAAGGAAATGTCGAGGTAAATACAGCTAAAAAGACTGAAGCAAAATGCAACATAACAAAAGAAATTATTGACTCAAAATCACCTTCACTTTCTGCTGAAAAGCATGTGCTTGAGGCGAAGGCTGAAAATCGTGACAGATTGAACAAGAATGTGACATTACAGTCACAGGAAACTCGTAATTTCACGTCGGGGACAGAGAGGTCCAAACTTGATTCCAACTTCGAGGACAACAATAGACTGAGACGCTATGGACGAGGCTATAACAGGGAGTCTGGAGAAACCAACAGATATAACGTCACCGAAGACACAAGTATGGGAACGTCCTCTCGTTTCTCGAGTGTTTCTCAGTGTAGCTCCGCATTGAAGTCTTTTCCAGTGACGAGGAAAGGACTATTCTTCTCTGATTACTTTTTCCGAGACACAAGGGAGGATTTCCAGAAAGCCGTAAGGGAAATCCTGAACAAATGGGGAGAGAAGTCGTCTTCCGGTGACGAGATGACTTGCTACAGAAAACTACGAGCACGAAATATGAGGGAAGATAATCAGGCAGTGACGTCTTCGGAAGATGAACGTCATTATAAGGTATAGACATAAACTAGTTTCATTTGTTACTTTGTTAAGCAATATTATTTATGAGAACTCATCATGTAAACCGACTTTGTCATGTATTCTTTTTATTTTAATTTTATTTATTTATTTATTTTAGTTCGTCATTGATGTCCAAGACTTTATGAACGTTGGAGAGATCAGCATGAAGGCTGTGAACGAGAGAGAGTTGGTGGTTGAAGGTCACTTGGAGAAGAAGGAAGACGGTTCGAAGTCCAGCAAGCGGTTCCTTCGTCGGTTCATTGTTCCTGGAGACATTGAGCTCGAGGCTGTCATTTCAGTCATGTCTTCTGACGGAGTGCTTAAAATCTTAGCTCCGAAGAGGGTAGGTTATACTTATGTATGTGTGTGTTCACATGCACATACACACATGCGCGTGCATGCAAATACATATGAATATATATACATACAGTATATGTACATGCCTGTATATATTTACATATATGAATATATGTACACACACACATACACATACACACACATATGTGTATATATATATGAATTAATATATATACAGATATATATGTCATATAGAGATGGGTAGTGCCGTTTATGTTTTCATGTATGGGAGGAAAAAAAAACTGATAGTGAAGAGCAGTGCAAACATAAGAGAAAGATATGAAAATCGCAAGTGTATCTTTATGTGCATAATATACAATACATGCCAAAAGTTGTCATACATGCAAAGGCGTGATTGTTAAATACATAATATAAATATTCCTAAATTTCACATACCTTCCTTGTTCCACAGCTTGGCCACAACCGAAAACATGTTTCGACTGACATGGACGATGGCGATGCAATGTTTTCAAGGAAATTCACAAGTGGGCATCGTCTCACCGATAACCTTTTTGGGAAGAGAGATTCATCTTCGGATGACGAGGATTTTAGGACATTTGCCAGGCAAATCAATGATCGCTACCAAGTCGCTTTCCAAGAACGACGAAGACTTTGAAGATGGACATTTGCTCAACAAGGAGACAAAGATGAAAACTGACAAAGGGTTTAAATATGAGATTCCAAGCTTTTCAACGGAAACCAGGGTTTTATACGTGGACAGAAGGGGTGTATTCACTGAAGACTATTTCTTCGCGAATGTTCGTGACAGCTTCAGCCAAGCAGTGAGAGAAGTGCTGGAAAAGACTAATGAATGGACCTGTCGAAGTGACGCCATGCACAACTACAGACGTCTGCGTCAGCGCAACCTCAAGTTGGAAACTCAGGCTGCTGGCATCATTGACGATCAAGACTCACACAAGGTGGGTGTAAAACTGCTTTTTCACGTAAACCAATTTCATATCACATTTTAAATGATTATTTCTGGGAAGAGTGAATAGGTAGTTTCGTAATCAAATGTTTTTTTCCTTTTCAGATTGTGATGGACGTTTTTGATTTCATTAAGGGCGACGTGACAGTGCAGCTGGTGAAGGGCAAGGAACTGCTGGTCGAGGGTCAAGCAGAGAAGCAGGACGGAAGCAGAGTGTCCCGAGTGAGCTTCGAGCGTCGCTTTGCGTTGCCTGAGCTCGTCGACCGAGACGCCATCAGCTGCGTGTTGTCCTCGGACGGAATCCTGACAATCATCTCCAAGAAGAGAGCATGCGAGTACAGGACTAGTGCAAGGGGACTTTCCAGTGAGAGGAAGTCCTACGGTGACAGGGCTGGCAGGTGGGAGGACAAGAAAGTGAAGGACTCCGTCGTGGATCTGGAAGGCTCCAGCTCTCGGAGCTTCAGCACTGGCTCTCGCTCCCGCTACCATCGCTCCTATACGAAACAATATTAGAGTAAAAGTCTTTATATATATTTATAACTGCATATTTACAAAAAAAGAAAAGTAATTCTTGTGCTCAATAAGTGATTATTTTTGTGATATATACATATTAATTTTACTGCTGAGGAGTGCCTTTATATGTGCATTCTATCCTACATATCTACAAGTTTACATGTTTTGTATTTTTAAATCACATTCCTTGCCATAAATACCGTCATACTTTATTTTGAAGAAAAAGTGTATTTGTATATGCAAATAAAATTACTTACTATATCTATAACTGCACTGATCCTATTTTCAGATAGCATTATCTTGTTATAAGTTTTATATCAACCAGAATTCAGAGTCCAAAAGATCATGAAAAAATAAGTACATAAAACAAAACAAAAATGGAGCGCTTGAGAGACACAAACACAATTTATGGGGGACAAAATATCCCTCACCCAGCCACTTGACGCCTCTGGCAACAACAAATGTTTATCATCATTATTACTTTTATCCCCAAAGAAAAAAGACACACTGATGCCCACATAGACTATTAGATGCACGCACACAGGTGTTCAAATGCACTCATTTGCACACCGATGCTGAGAGGCACAAACGCGTGAATACACGACCCAGTAATTACACTAACACGCTTCATATCAAACTCCGTAGAGTTAGAGATGTTGGTTTGGTAGCGTGTTACCCAACTACAGGTAATGTCTCAGGTGATGTAAAAGTGATCTCGTGGTCAAAATAAAAAGAACAATAAAATAATATCACTGGCTAATTCAAAAGGCAACATAAAAAGAGCATCATATTATATATTCATTTCGCACAGATCTTTCGAACACAACCAATATACAAGACAACACACCATACACACCATGCCCCAGCACGAGAGACACCAGCCAACACAAGATAAAAGCTTCTCTCTCTCCCTCCCGACGTGGCTTGATCTTTTATACTGGTGGCTTCCCGCGCTTGGTGCTGTTTTACCCGTAACACAGTCTATTTAATTTATTTAATAGAGTGTGATAAGTTTAAAATAAGCTTGAAAATACATAAAATAAAAGGAATAATAAAATTATACAAACAATAAGTGGCAGGAAAGTACGAAAAAGTGAAAGGGATCCTTGGGGGAAAGACGAGAAAAACGAAGAGAAAAAAACGAAAAAAAATGAGTTAGAGGGATATATATACATATATATATATGTGTGTATGTATGAATGTATGTGCATATGTATATGCATAAGATATATGCATAACAATGATAACGATAACAATAATAATGATGGTAATAATAATAATGATGATGGTGATAATGGTATTCATCATTATAATGATAATAATGATAATGATGATAATAATAATAATAAGAATAAGAATAAGAAAAACAATAATAAAATTGATACTGAGAATGGTGACGATGATGATGATCAAAATAACAATAATAATAATGATTATAATACTGATAATGATAAATCATGATAATCATGACAGTAATGATAATAACCATAAGTAACCAAATTCCACCGTGTGCCCATGGAGAGTGTATGTAAAGAGTTTTTATTCATGTATATATATATATATATATATATATATATATATGCATATGTGTGTGTGTGTGTGTTTGTGTTGTGTGCGTGTGTGTGGGTGTTGTATGTGAGTTTTTGTATATGTATATATGGATACATATGGATATACAGGTACATATATATAGATAGATATTTGTGTGAGTATGTGTATGTTTTTACATATCTTAATATACATATGCTTGTGTGTTGTGTGTCTGTATTAGCGTGTGTGTTGTGTGTGCGTTTTTTCCATATATACAGATGTATATATGGATATACATCTGTTTATCTATCTATCTATCTACATATGTGTGTGTGTATATATATTGATAGACAGATATATTTGCGTGTGCTTGTGTGTGTTTACATACTTTTATATATATGTATACACACACACATACATATATGTGTGTGTGCGTGCACGCGTACATGAATGTATGTCATCGATTCCAGGTAAAAGGTTCCTTAGTTAAAGTTAAAAATCTTATTCGAAAAAGTGTTGCAAATCTTCCCGAAATATCCTCCGACGCATTGAACAGTGTTGTAATGCAATACTACTTCAGTCGTGCTGATACTGGACCTCAGATGTTTACTCACGTCTCTGGACTTTGGCAGCCACGCAAAAGCTGTTCATGCCAAGTGACGCCGCCGCTACGTCACACGCTAGCACTCGCCAGAGACAGTATATATGTTTGCAGTTCTCGCAAGAATCTTCAGTTCACAAGCGCACGTGCACCTTCAAGGATCTCCTCTCAAGTCATAGCACAAGTGTATATATATTCCTACTTTGAAAATGGCACCCATTCAGATGGAAAAGTCCTACGTGAAAGTGTCCTCCACACCCGCTGCAAAGTGCTCTCGGCAGGCAAGGTCAAGCAGCAGGTCATGGGATGTGATCCTTCCTATCAGTCGCAGAGGAAGCTTCTTCCAAGACTCGTTTTTCTCTGACATACACAAGGATTTTGACTCCTCCGTCAGGGAGGTGTTGGCCAGATGGAGTGACGAAGACCTGAAAGTGAAAGACTTCCGCCGGGATGATATTATGAACCGTTACAGACAGCTTCGATCTCGTAACCTAAATAAAGGGAACCAGGCTGTCACAGTCACATCTGACAACACAAATCATAAGGTGAGTCGGTATAACGATCGCGGTTTCCAATTAGTCACTGGACGAGACACGGTTAAATAGTGTTTAAAATCGGAGAATGCGTCTACATATAGCTAAAGTTATAACACTTAAATTCTATCTCCCAGATTGTGCTGGACGTGCATGACTTCATGTGTGGAGATGTGAGAGTGAAAGTGTTGGACGAGGAGGAGTTGTTAGTGGAAGGACACGTGGAGAAGAAGGAGGAAGGAAGCTCATCCGTCTCGTCACACTCCTTCAGACGATACTTCTCTTTGCCTCAACACACAGACATGACAACAATAACGTCCGTCATGTCTGCAGATGGTATCCTCACAGTCACTGCGCCAAAAATAGTGAGTCAATTATTTTCTTGTAAACAGTGAGTATATAAACAGAGGAATGCTGTATGAGTAAAGAAGAACGCAACATTATATTGATATTAATAATAAATCTTATTTTGTCTCACAGAAAACAGAAATGACAAAGGAAAATGCAATCAATCATACTTCCGCTTCGAATTATCATGAGAAAGTCGGCGAAACACGAAAACAAACAGACTCAGAACACTTGTCTTCTACACGAAAAGAAAGCTGTTCATGTGATCTTGGTTTCAAAAGAACAGCTGATTCCTCTGGGTTTCACTACGGTTCGTGGGACACATCCTTGCCCATCACTCGAAGAGGAGGCTTCTTCCAGGACTCCTTCTTCTCCGGTACACATCGCGACTTCGATGCCTCCATCAGGAAGGTCCTCAATGGCTGGAATGACGCCGATCACCAGCTGGCGGACTTCTGGGACGATGACGACTTCCACCGCAGCGACAGACTGGGCCGCTACAGACAGCTTCGATCGCGGAACCTGTGGAGTGATAACCAGGCCGTTACAGTTACTTCAGATAATATTAGTTATAAGGTAAGTTGCATGAAAACTGCACACTCATTCAATTCATCTACATATGTAAGATATAAATCCTTACGTTTCATGGACGACTGAAAACTTAATATTAATACCGTGAATCATTTCATAGATCTTGGTGGATATGCATGACTTTGTGGATGGAGATGTGAAGGTGAAGTTGATGGGCGAGAAGGAGCTGTTGGTGGAGGCCCAGTCGGCCAGGTCCTCGCACACCTTCACACGCACCTTTTCCTTGCCTGAGTCCACTGACATAACGTCCATCACGTCTGTCATGTCGTCAGATGGCATCCTGACAATCACTGCCTCCAAGAAGGTATTGTTCTAGCTTCTCTTGTACTTCACTAATGCCTTATGAAGATTTTATATAAATGAATCCAAAGTGTAGCAGGCATCCGCATAATTAATACGCCTTTCTTAACCAACAGGAGAGTGAAACACAACAGAAGACTACGGTCATCCCCATTAGTGTCAAGGAAACGGATAATGCTTCAGAAGTTCACAGCTCAACTTCCTCGAAGACCTCGGGAGTTTCTGAGGAAACAGCATCTGGCCAAGGAATATCCCACACAGCCCAAGAGGAGGAACGCAAATACGCACGATGCTTTCAGGAAAATATCGACGAGGACAAAACCCAAACTGCAACTTCCAATATCTCAAGCAACACCCAACAATCATCACAGAAGGAATCGTCTGTCATCACAGATTTTGTTTCCACAAGAATTTCCGAC